AATGCAGAAAACGCTGAGAGGTCTCTGTTGTTCATCCTTTTGAAGTTGAAAAAATCGGGCCTCTCAGCATTTTCTGCTCTTGGACGCACAAAACATGCTGTAGGGTCCTATTTTTAGGCCCTGACCTGCTGAAATGCTATAAGGTCTGCTAAACACTATATTCTAGAAGGCTCTTGGGGCCACGTGTCTTGAAGAGTCTTCTTGGCGTATATGGTTTAGCGTTTTTGGAGACCTTAGAGAATTTGGGCTGGTCAGGACCAAGAAGTAGGGACCCTGCAGCACTGTGCGCATCCAAGAGCAGAAAATGCTGCGGCCCCTACTTTTTTTAACTTCAAAGAAATGAAAAATAGCGACCTCAGCATTTTGGGATCTCAGCATTCTTGGCACCTAGACCCCGATTTGTTGAATTTCCAACTCAAAAACATTGGGGCCCTGACTTGCCACAATGCTGTATTTTCTGCTCTTGATGCACAACATTCTCTGGAAGGCTCTTCAAGACTTATGGCCGTTTGAGAGGCCCTATTTTTTCCAGCCAGTGGAAATTCAAAAAAGGCTTCCAAGGGCTCAAAAAAAAACGGACCTCACGGCATTTTGCACAGAAATTGCTGAGAAGCAACTTCTTTCTTAATTTCCAAAAACTGAACAATAGGGACCAACAGGGACCTCTCAGCATTTCTGCTCTTGGATGCACAAAATGCTGAGAGGCCTCTATTTGTCTTTTTTAAGGACCAGAGACCGTCGAGTTGTACATAAATGTTTTGGTGGGTTCTCATGTTGCGCAAGACAACAACGTGCAAGCAGCTCCAGTGTGGGAAAAATGCCCAAGCGGCGGAAGTGGAAAGTCTATACCGGAGGCTGCCGGCTCTCACGTGGCGATGAGCTACGCCTCAGTGGCTCCGCTGGTGTCCGCTGATAGACGTCCATCCAGCGTTCAGATTCGACGTGTCGTGTGTGATTCGCTTTATTTTGCTGTTTTGCCGCCATCCTCCTCGGAGCCGCCCCATGCACCCCTGGATGGGCCGGGTGAGAGTAAGCATGAATTGGGCTTGCATGCGCGTGCAACGCGTAGCCTGGGAGCGCGACATGCGCGTGCATCACATGCGCGGGCGGAACCCACGAAGGCTGCCACGAAAACAAGCAATCTACATGCGCGTGCGAGACCACTTTCACGCGCGCCTGCGAGCCGAAAACCATGCGCGCTCTCGAGGCCATTCGAGGCCTGACCCCTTTTGAGCCCTTCTGGCACCCTTAAGCCAGCACGTGCCTCGGCGAGCACTCGAGCCTCGCAGCCGCTGCTTTTCGTTGAGGCCACCGCTCTGCTGATGATTTTGCAGGAAAATCAGCAGGAAAACCGAAACGAGCCATGTCAGTGAGAATCCAAGCTCAAAAAAGACGAGCCGCGATTTTTCTCAGGCGCGCGGCAATTTGGAAACAACTTCCTTCTCCTGTTTTCAATGACCTTTGCAGGAAAACGCACTAAGCTGAGGGTTCAATTTGGACATGAATTTCTCAGAGCTTTGAATGGACCTTTTGGGGGTCTTCCCAAGCGGACATTACTGAGACATCGATTTCCAACTTTTTCGTGGTTTTAATAGGAACAAAAGGAACGGGTCCGGCCCCCCGGTTGCAAGTCTCCTTTTTCAAAAAGCCAAGGGGAAACCCGTATCAAACCCTTGATTCCTGAAGCGAGGTGTTCCTCAAAAAGTGAAGGATCTGGTCCATAGGTGGACTTAAGGGACACCATCTGGTTGTCGGTGTTGTTTGAGGGTACCCTTTTTGGGTGCTTAAACAGGAGAAACAAAAGGAAAGCCGTTGCGCAATTCGGCTGTTCCCCTTCGATCCCCGGCGAAAAGCTGAACAAACTTTGAGTGGTGCGGTGAAACTTCCACGGCAAAACCAATTAAACAAATACCTGAAAACCGGATGGCTGGTTCCGAAGCGCAAGATGTAACTCTAACAGAGAGGAAAACAAGATCGCTTTGCTGACTTGTGGTATGAGTGACATATTGTTCCTGTTGCAAACCAAAACACTGCATACTTACATCTTTGGTCATTTACCTCTTACATATATTTACATTCTGCATCGGAGTAGATCCACAAGGGACCTACGAGAGGTGCACAGTTCAGGGCCACTTGGGTCCCCCCATTTGCAACCTAGCAGGATGTCTGGGAAGAGGGCACCGTCGAAGTGGAACGCTTCTCGCATCAGAGGAGTGAAAGAGAGACAGAGCAAAAAAAATGTCAACAAACATCAGCCCAAGGAAAAGCCTACAAAAACAGGCCAAGGAGCCATCCGGCCTGTGACCAACCTTCGTTGGCCGGGAGGTAGGCCGCGAGTGTGCGCTTGGCCCAAGTGCGCAGCTCCATTCTTGAGTGGGCAAAACGAGCAGACATACCCAAGTCCGCCAAAAAAAGCAGTGCAAGCAGGTGCTGGGCCAAAAGCTGGATTTAATCGTTCCCGGCAAGACATGACAGCTGTTCATGCGAAGTTGGCCCACATGCTTGTTTTGTATTTTTTCTTTTTTAAGAAGGCGCCAGTTTGCATTTGCAGATTCTACCAGAAAGCAGATGGATGAGGTTCAGAAGCATTTGGTTGGAGCTTGCGTTTTGTGAAGCTGAAGGCTGGGCCTGCGTAGCAGAAGGTTGTGCTTGCCTGGCATGGATCATGGGGAGCGGGTGAGCATATACATGTATCTACATATATATATATATATATAAATACACATGCATATGTTATACTTATAGATATACAAATATATATATATATATGTAAATATAAATGTGTATTTGTATAATGTATTGAGCCCCTTGTAGTACTGGTTTACACTTTACCTTTCGTTTTGCAGGTCACCAACGAAACCACCCTTAAACTAAAGGCTTCAGGAGGCATGGCGAAGGGTCGGCATGCTCATGAAAACATGTTCTTTAGGTTTCGCTCCAAGGAGGATCTGACAAGAAAATGGGGGCAACCCCCAGGATGGGTGGCGTCCATTTAGTGTCCTTTAAACCAGGGTACCCTCAAAAAACCACGATCAAGGGAACTGCCAGACAGTTTCAAGTTCAATAACTCAACAAGTGAGTGAAGGCAGGATACGTCCAACAAAAAGGCAAGCAAGGGCTAAACGGTTGCAGCGGTTTTAATTCATGAAGCCAGTTCCACAACAACTCAAAACAACTTCGTCCACCTTCGCCTCGGTCCTCCAGTAGAGAGGTTAGAATAAGGGCCTTTTTTCTGTAGTGTATGTGAATAGGGGAACCTTCCTCCAAAAAAGGGTGAGAAAGAGCTCTACTGGACCTAGTCGCTTCTTCTCAGCTGTACTTCTGGCTGCGACACCCCCGAGAAATGCCGGTCTCTATACTATAGTTGGTGTCTCCTGACCCCGTAGGTGCAACCCCCATCGAGCAAAGAGCACGGGAAAACCGGGGGGCCTGGTACGTCAGGCGCTTTGGTGCCCTTTCATTTGGGTTGCAACCCCAGGCCGGGTGTCCTTTAGGTTGTTTTGCTTAAACAAAAAAGAAGGCCCTGGTTTACCTGGTGGTTCAATCATCTACCAGGGCCAACTACTTTCCACAAAGAACACCTATGGTTGCAACCCGCTGTTTTGCGATCACACCTGGGCATTTACCAACACTCTGGGGTCTGCCCATTCTGTTGAACCACCGCCGTCGGGTTATCTGCATCACTTGCACTTCCAACGGGATTCTTCATACGGGTCAGGGAGTTTTGGCCTTCCTGACCTGGCCCGAGTGATAGCCGGGATGAGTATTCAGCGGCAGGATAGGTGGCATTCCCTTGATGTCTGCCTTCAATTTGTGGGATGAAGTTCTCTTGAAGGGGGTGACAAGTGGCTTGTTGTTCTAGTTTAAGTGTTTTGGGCTCTGTCATCTGTTGACTCTTCTATCTTGTGCTTTCATTTTTCTGGGCCCACTAGCAATTTCTCAAAATTCCTATCTCTTTTTTGGTGGGGTCTCCCTTCAAGTGCCATCTAGAGGGTTGCATACAATTCCCAGCTATTGGTGGGTTTGCCTCTGCCAAGCAGCTGTTGCCGATTGCACTCTACAAGTTGCTGAAGGATCGCACATATGCAACAGCGCTGTGGGCAGTCAACGCTTCTGCTAAATGAGGCACGCAGCATGCTAGTTATCATGGTTGAAGTGCACATGCCTAAGGCTTCGTCTGCTTTTATAAGTAGGCCACATGTAGGTCTCCACCCTTTGCAATTCGACACGCCTGCTGCACAGCTGGGGGCCATGTCGGCAGAACGAACTGTTCAAGTTCTTCAGCTGCTTTCAGCACGCCAATTCCCTCGGCCCCTGGGCCTTCTAAAAAGCTACTTCATGTAAGGATGGACCTGGTTTTCGACACCTGTCCCTGATTCAACCTTCCGACTTTTTGTGCGCTCCTGACCAGGATTGCAAGCAAATGACAAAGCGGCTCGCTTTGCGCGTGCCTTCTTTGGCAGTGGATGCCTAATCTGCTAGCTATATAACATAATCAGTTACCCGGGCCAAACTCCCAACTGGGGGCTTCTCAAAATAATGGTCCCCCCCCCAAAAAAACGGCTGGTGTCACTTTGGTTCGCTCCATGGTCTTGCCCGAAAAGTTTGAGGTCCAAGAACTCAGTGCGTCAGTATGTCACGGTTGTCTCCAAATTGTCCTCTTGACCCTCAAACAGAAGAGGTCTAATGGTTGCCCTGGGGTTCAAGCCACCATTAAAGCAATAGATTCTCATCATCCAAATTGGGTCAACCATTCTTTGTATGGGGCAAGGAACCCTGGGGTCCAGCAATTCCCCCCCTCCAAAAGATGGCACCAGACATCCCTTGAAGAGGAAACCAATCCAGGTACCCTCCCAGTGCCATGACAATGTGGAAGGGAGGGTAAAAGCTTCTTTTTTTAAGCATTCACTTTGTGGGGACAAGGAACCCTAAGGTGCAGAAACCCAAAGTGCTGTTCATCACCAGTCCCGCTACTTGGATTGATCAATTGATCAGGCCACTGAAAGGCCATCCACAGCACGTTCAGAGTGAGAAACACCGCGATCAAGTGAGCCTCAGCCCAGCCCGACGTAAGGACGTCCAAACCTACATAGCCCAGCCCAAAGACGTCCCCACCTACATTGGATGCCCCTTAAAATTAGCAGGGAAACAAGTGACATGGGACTGTCCCAACCTACATTGGATGTTTCTGTCAAGTTCCCAAATTAGCACGGGAACCTAGCATTGCAAGCGACCCGTTGTTTTGGGATGGGACTCAGTGGATCCCCCCACAACCCAGCGTAGGAATCCCACTCCCAGTCGAACTGAGTCATCATGTCTGGAGCTAAAACAAGGTCTACACCAAAACATGTGCAAGTGATGATCCAAAACTCCTACCGTTATACCGTTTTTGTAGGGTCTGCCCAATGCAACGAGAACCAAAAGCTAGCTGTCTGCACCTGTGATGAGTCCAGTGGATCGCAAGCGTCTGCACCTTTGTCTCGAATTCCCGCCGAATGGGGCTAAAAAATTAGAATGGGCGCTTGAGGAGAATATAGCAAGATGAGCAGATAAAGGGCGCCTTGGCATGGATTGATACTTGGTTTTCTTTGTGAGTCATCTCTCTATCTTTCATTCCTGAGAAGCCGATTCTTACTATCATTCCTACATTTGGATTATAAAGTAAATATTCTACTGAAGAGATAGGGACAAGAAGAAAACCAGATACTGGATTATGAAGCACTATTTCTCCCAGCCAATAATCTCAATCACTATTTTGGAAAAGAGATTGGGATGATGAAATAGGCTGTCAGTGCGGGAGATCCTGAGATTTGTAAACGTTCTGAAGAGTGACGAGATGGAGCGGACATGTCCTTATCACTCACTTCGCTCTTTCCTACTGTGGATGGACAACATCCGTTTCGCACCACATTGAAACCATCGAAAAACAAAGCTTTGTGGTATTTCCGCGGGAATCGTTATTCCACAGTTCTCAGGTGGTGCAGGAGTTCGTCCATCCACAGTATGTCATACCTTCCTTTGCCTTGAGGTAATTTCTCGTTGCAAAGATTCCCGATCTGCAGCGGTCAAAAGTCTTATCTTTGTCTTTGTATTTGGAGCCGTCAGAACTGCATTTGGATTGTTCTTTATCTTTCCTTTCCGTACCACAAAACCAATTTGCGCCATGACAATGGCCAAACCAGCCCCTTGAATTGTATCTACCAGACGGTTTGAGTGCTCAATCAGCTGAACCGATCTGAAATGGGCGTCTTGGATTGGGCGGGAACGTGTTTCTCATGCACACACACCTGAAGTTCAGGAATGCGCAAATATGGCTGTGGCTCAAAAAAATGTACCCAAAATGGCACTTTGGTATGTGGAAACAAAGACCAAAACCTGCGTAACCGCAGCTGTTTAACTTTGAGCCACACCCATACTGTGTCACAACACCTGGTCAACCTTAGGGTTGTCCATTTGTACCCAATGTGCCATTTGGAATCGCAGCCCTGGGAAGGTCACCGTCCCGGCTTCATTCTCAGAAAGCAAAACCTGGTAGCGGTGGGGCTCAAATCCTGAAACCACTATGTAAATCATCTCGCTTACTGAGTAGAAGGGTCAAACAAGTCAAAGGTGTTTGCCTTCTGCAAGCGGGAGCATAAAGTCAAGACCCTCAGGGAGTCTTGAAATTGCGAAGGCCAATTGCCTGCGATGTTCATTGACAATTGGGTGTGGCTCAAAATTAAACAGGAGGGGTTACGCAGGTTTTGGTCCATGTTTCCACTTCGGTTTTTTGAGCTTGGCTGTAGGTTGGGCTCCTCTTTGTAACCTATAGGCGTACCTTCCCGGTGCATCCTCCAGGCCCCAACTTTTGGTTTGGATGGGTGTGGGAATCAAACAGACCATGAATGAAGAGAATGGGGAAACCCTTGGCTTGGCTAACCCGAGCCAAGGGTTGGGTTGCAACCCAACACCTCCAAGGGCAAGTCTAGGCTGGAATTAGGCCCCCCAGCAAAAACATCTTTTTTGCCCGGTGAGTGGAAAACAAAGGGACCCCAAAAAAGAAACACAAAAAAAGGGGAGCAATTCTGGGCACCCAAGTGACTGGGAAAACCGCATTGGAGAGCTCCTCACGGGCTCACGAAAAAAATCATCCGAGGGGCGTAGCACCGCGAGTCCAAGAACCGCTTCAGGGACTCCATGACACCAGCTGGGCCTAGCGAAGGAAGCAGCAGTGCAGCTTGGCCGAATTCGCTACTTGTCGTCAAACCCAAAACCAGTGGAAAACGGCAAAGGGGCCCCTTTGTTCCAGTGCTTGCAGCATTTAGGGCATTCACCGTAGAATGGACAGGGCCCAAACGTGTCACTTGGGAAAAAGGAGAGGTTTCAACGTTGGCCGTTAACCTGTAATTTATGTACTGTTTTAGTCAAGTGCAAGGCTGTGAACCAAACGTGGACTCAACCAAGGACTTGACACCTATGGACAGGTGGAGCACTATTAAACAATAAGTATGCCCCTAAGCCATGATCATAGGACAATGATGTGTTTAGCCCCTATTGGAAGGCTTTCCTGCAACTATAGGCTAAGGAGTTTAGCCCTTCCTACTTACCATGTGAGTAACCAGCAACCATGCAAGTATACGGGCCTTGCTTGAATTGAATGGGTCGGGTAATTCAAAAACACATGACTTCACAGGCCGACGTCCTGTGGCCATGGGAAATAAAGGCCCCTTCGTGCTATAGATAAGGGAAGGTGGCAACGGCCCCGAAATTTGCAGCATGTCCTGTGCACGGTGGCCTTTTAGAAAAATAGATGGCCCTGGTAAATGGAAGAAACCCCACCTAAACCAGTGCCTCTATCTTTAATCAAACTAACCTAAAAAGGACACCTATGGCCCTGTGGCTTTACTTGTAATATTCACGGCATCCGCCTCCAAAAAAAGTGGGGTCCCTTCCCGAGCTTAAGTACTGGCTGGGGCATCGGAACTTGTAATCTGTGAGCATGTTGGATCAGCTCGAAACGTCGGAGCCGTTGGTTTCCTTCCCTCGGCTTTTTGACAACAAGCCACTCATTGTGCAAACAAAGGGAACCTCCGCATTTTGAGGTTGGGTCTTGAAACAAGTTGCAGTGGACAAGGGCGCCGCCTTTCTGCGAATTGTTGGTTCCTGTCCCTGCCTGCCAAAGGGGATTCTGCAAAAAGAGAAAGACACACTGGAAAGGAAGCTGGCTTGCAAAAGAAAGGCGCGCGGAGAATTCAAACCGACCGCTAACGCAAACAACCAGCTGATAGGTGGGATGAGAACTAACTCCACTGGAACGGTTGCTCTTCAGGGGCCCTTTGGGCCAACCTTTCGGGCAAAATCCACACGTCCAAACACCCAAATCAACCTTTGGGGAGTACCCATCGGCCTCTGCGTGTGCATATATTCATATTTATGTTTATGCTGGTGTTTGCGTGCATGTGCGTTGCGCCGTCTGCGTTGCGCTGTGCGCGGTGCGCGGTGCCCCATGCAGCGTGCGGCATGCGGCGTGCGGTGCGCGTGGGCGTGGGCGTGTGCGTGTGCATGTGCTGGTGTGTGTGTGTGTGTGTTTGTGCGTGCGTCTGTGTCTGTGACTGTGTCTGTGTGTGTGTGTGTCTGTGTCTGTGTCTGCGTGTGTGTCTGTGTGTGTGTGTGTCTGTGTGTGTGTCTGTGTGTGTCTGTGTGTGTCTGTGTGTGTCTGTGTGTGTCTGTGTGTGTGTGTGTCTGTGTGTCTGTGTGTGTGTGTCTGCGTGTGTGTGTGTCTGTGTGTGTGTGTGTGTCGGTGTGTCTGTGTGTCTGTGTGTGTGTGTGTCTGCGTGTGTTTGTGTCTGTGTGTGTGTCTGTGTGTGCGTGTGTCTGTGTGTGTGTGTGTCTGTGTGTCTGTGTGTGTGTGTGTCGGCGTGTCTGTGTGTCTGTGTGTGTGTGTGTGTGTCTGCGTGTGTTTGTGTCTGTGTGTGTGTCTGTGTGTGTGTGTGTCTGTGTGTGTGTGTGTCTGTGTGTCTCTGTGTGTGTGTGTGTCTGCGTCTGTGTCTGTGACTGTGTCTGTGTGTGAGTCTGTGTCTGTGTCTGTGTCTGCGTGTGTGTCTGTGTGTGTGTGTGTGTGTCTGCGTGTGTGTCTGTGCCTGTGTCTGTGTGCGTGTGTCTGTGTGTCTGTGTGTGTGTGTCTGTGTGTGTGTGTGTCTGTGTGTGTGTGTGTGTGTCGGTGTGTCTGTGTGTCTGTGTGTGTGTGTGTGTCTGCGTGTGTTTGTGTCTGTGTGTGTGTCTGTGTGTGTGTGTCTGTGTGTGTGTGTCTGTGTGTGTCTGTGTGTGTGTGTGTGTGTGTCTGCGTCTGTGTCTGTGACTGTGTCTGTGTGTGAGTCTGTGTCTGTGTCTGTGTCTGCGTGTGTGTCTGTGTGTGTGTGTCTGCGTGTGTGTCTGTGCGTGTGTCTGTGTGTGTGTGTGTGTCTGTGTGTGTCTGTGTGTGTGTCTGTGTGTGTGTGTGTCTGTGTGTGTGTCTGTGTGTGTGTGTGTGTGTCTGTGTGTGTGTCTGTGTGTGTGTCTGTGTGTGTGTCTGTGTGTGTGTGTCTGTGTGTGTCTGTGTGTGTCTGTGTGTGTCTGTGTGTGTCTGTGTGTGTGTATGTGTGTGTGTGTCTGTGTGTGTGTGTCTGTGTGTGTCTGTGTGTGTGTGTGTCTGTGTGTGTGTGTGTCTGTGTGTGTCTGTGTGTGTCTGTGTGTGTCTATGTGGGTCTCTGTGTGTCTCTGTGTGTCTCTGTGTGTCTCTGTGTGTTTCTGTGTGTCTCCGTGTGTCTCTGTGTGTCTCTGTGTGTCTCTGTGTGTCTCTGTGTGTCTCTGTGTGTCTCTGTGTGTGTCTGTGTGTGTGTCTGTGTGTGTGTGTGTCTGTGTGTGTGTGTGTCTGTGTGTGTGTGTCAATGTGTGTGTGTGTGTGTCTGTGTGCCTGTGTGTCTGTGTGTCTGTTTGTCTGTGTGTCTGTGTGTCTGTGTGTCTATGTATGTGTGTGTGTGTGTGCGGGTGTCTGTGTGTGTGCGTGTGTGTGTGTGTGTCTGTTTTGCGCGTACCCGTTGCAGCTTGGTCTAAAGGGAAACCTGAAAAGGACAACCACATGTTTGACACATGGATATTCAAACCGAAAAGGGAGGCAACCGCAGTGCACGAGTTCGACTCCCTTTTTCTGATGGGTTCAAAGTGGAACCCCCAAAATGGGTGCTGTCTTCATTCGCACCATCCCACAAGGGCATCCTCAAAAAAAAAATCTCCCGGCTTGGGACTTTCAATATTGGCGAGTTCGCCTTGCCCCCGGACGTACGCTTTGGCCATCCACATCTGTGTCTTTTCGAGGGTATCCTTTTCAGCTTACTTTCAAGGCCCAAGGAAACTGCCTTTTGATACATACCCACGACCCAAAGCAACCGTCGGTCCGCCGAAAAATCGCTTTCCCCACCTGCCGCGCTGGGAGTGATGGAGTCGCTGTGTAGTTGGTCCTGCCGGTTTGTTCATGGGGTGCGCTTTCGGCATGTAGGGAAGTGCACAAAAAAAATCTGCAGCTTTTCAGGTAGTTGGACGCTCTGTGTCGCTGGAATCCACTGAAGGAAATGAAAAGACGGCCGGGTAAGACTCCTTCATCTTAGCCCGTGTTCGCCCCTCCCGCTGGGTTCCTTATTGCAGAATCATGGGGCCTGGAAAAGCCAGGCTCCAGCTAGAGATGCTTTAAAAAAAACACCAACCAAAAGGACACTTACTCGACCTGTCCTTTCCAAACAGCGATGCCTGCTTGTAGGGGGTTACCTCCCTACCTTGATATGTTCCAAGGTCAGTGATGGTGCAACAGTCCTTTGCTTGGCAAGAGGGGGTCCGCCTAAAACGCGTGCTCCTTGGTGGCCCTGGTGGCTATTTTCCCAGAATGTTCCTTTGCTGATCAAAAATCCAGCATGACAGAAATTATTTTATTTGGGCGTTGTGCTGCAAATCGTAAAGGGAAACCAAGAGTAAACTCACGTTTTTGGGTCCATTTCCCAATTCTGAGGCATACTATAAGGGCCTAAATGATGGGAACGGGGCAGTGGAATACTTAAAAGCCAACTAAGCCATTCTTGAGAACAAGAGGAACATGCGAGTGCCTTGAGAAAACCGTGCCTTGAGAAACAGGAAAACCGCAAGGAAGCCGCCATGCATGGGGCTCGCCCCAAGAGACAGCCCAATTTCGTCAAAACACATACCCTTCTTCCCACTAACCGAAGGCATCCGGAGGGTACCCCAAACATTGATTTCCCCACTTCCCGAATATAGATAGGCTCAAAACGGTGACACTAGAATGGTCTTACCAAAGAGTATGAACGCCAGAAAGTCAAAAAGTAAACAGGTGATGTGGGACAGGTGAGCCGACCAGAGTGCCAATGAACAAATCATAAATAATCCATGGCAATCGTAGTTTCGGATGGTGAAAAACGGTAATCCCCGCCTCCGAAAGCAGAGTGTCCAGGATATGATCTGCCTCCAAAGTGCCTCAGGGTGGTGTGCCAAAAACCCGTGGCGGTTTTTTGGGGTAGGGTGGTGTGCCAAAAACAAGGGCTGCGTGGTTCCAGAATGCAGGGTCAGTCTCTTCTGGATAAGCTCAGCTAAAACATTGGGGCTTCAATGTGTTCCCAGTGCTCCCTTTGCTTCTTTGGAAAACACCAAACAAAAAGGTCCCTCACAGAAAAAAAATGACCAAGACCCCACCCCCCGCCCCGCCCCAATGGCCGTTGGAAAAGGAACACCCTTTTGTGGTTGTCTGTTTCTAAAGGGACCCCTTCTGGAAAAAAAATAGTCAAGAAAAAAAACAACCGAAAAAAAAGGGAGCGAACAACAAAACGTTGAAAAAAAGCGAGCGAGAAAAAACAAGGGAGCGAGCCACTGGCCCTGCACAGCCGCAATCTCCTCTGCTCTTTCGCTGGAGCTCTGCCTCACCAGAAGAAAGTGCGGCATCCAAGCTCGACGAAATATCCTGGGAGTTCTGCTTGGATGTCCAACCAACTTAGTACGTAGGCACTAAGTGAGCTAGAAGCATCATTCTAACTTGGGCCAGCTGGGTTTGTTGTTGCTTTTTATTATTACTACATTTTTTCTCCCTACTTACTGAGCTGTTGCAACATCCAAGTGGACATTGTCTCCGCTTCTCCAGCTTGCAACATGTGGACCCGCAGCGCGCTGCGAAGACCTGCTGTCCAAGTCTGCCTGGAGGCTCCATGACCCGAAATTAAAAATCGGTCCATGACCCGATGACTTGGGGTAACGACCAACCATTTTTGGAGGGTCATGGAGCTACCTAGAGTCTCCTTCTGACCCTTACAAAATGGTTGGCCCTTACCATAAATAATGGCTGGTCATGGACCTATGTTTATTTAAAGGGTCAGAAGGAGACTCCAGGTACCTTCGAGCACAGATCCTGCTCCGCTACGCCGCCGCGCCAGGCCGCCAGATCGGATGCCAGTCAAAGCAGAACCGGGCAAGTCCCTGACAGATTTGCCGGGGCAGCTTGCACGACATGGGTGTGGCTCAAAACTAAACAGGGGGGGGGCAAACCGCAGGTCTTGGTCCATGTTTCCACTTAATTACCAGGGTAACCCATTTTGGAATTCCGGTTTTTTGAGCCACAGCCACATCGCACCAGCAAGTATTTTAAGACACCTTTGCGAAGCAACAATTGCAAAGTGGGTGTTTCGGAGTACACGTGCGCTCCTTTTCGCGGCCGTTGGGAGTTGAGTCAGGGAGTGAATTCATGGGTCCCGAACCCAGCAAATGCAAAAAAACTGGGCGTTCTTTATCAAAGGTCCAACATTTCTGGGCGGCCCTCTGCTAAAAGCTTAACTTTTGGATGGTTAAATGGAAATCCCAACTAAAGCAACAACAGCACAATATAGCAAGCTCAGGAACCGGATGGCTGGGAGCCACCCAGGTTTCTTCATGTGAATCACAATCAAAACACGGTATTTCACTGGTTGACCCAGAACGTAAGAAAATACAAAGGCGGCTGCAGCTGTTTCTGGCTGGGACCGTCCCTTGCTAACCTTCATCTACCCGGGCTTTGAGCAAGTGGCTCATGTCCATTGCCAACGGGTTTTCGCGCGCTCCCGAACCTCCGGGCGCCCCGGCGCATTTGCTCGTGCTGCTTCCGCATGATGGTTTTGGACAAGGTTCCAGAATCGGAGACCGCCGAGTAGCCCGAGATCGCTGAGAAGACCGAGGGCGACCTCCAGTTTTGGCCGGAGAAAAAGAACCTCGGAACACATCCTAGAGTTTCCATGACCCTTAAAAAATGGTTGGTCGTTACCCTAAATAATGGGGTCATGGACCTATTTTTTTAGGGTCATGGACCTATTTTTTTAGGGTCATGGAGACTCTAGGACCCTCCCCAAAGGGTCCCTTGGTATTTGAGGAGGTACTGAACGACCCCTTTTTACCCCCTAAAAGCCATCCTCATGAAGTACCAAGGGACCCTACACATCGAACGCCGGCCAAAGGGGTCGAAGCCTCAAAAGCAACAACTGAAAAGTTGAAAAGGCCCCAAACAAAATACGAAGAACAAACCTTAGGGACCCTGACATAAAAGGTGATCACCTTTTGGGATCCTGGACTAAAAATAGGCGAAGGGAAGACCAGAAGGTCATTTCAGGTCGATTCGCTTTGAAGAAGTGAGAAACACATCGAACACCAGCGACGAGAAAAAACGTCGAACCCACCGAGCAACAAGTGAAAAGGCACAGAACCTAAAAGCTACCGAACAAGGATGCCACTGAACAAGAATGCAGCAAAGGGAGGAAAACTATGGAAGTGCATTCGTCGGAGACGGTCCTTGAATATTGAAACCGAGAATGGGGCATGTACCGTGATGGATCCACCAGTTTTGAGGGGTTGCTGGCCATGTTGGAAACCCCCCGTTCAATCGGACACACTATTTGCCTACTTAAACGGGCGATCGGGTACTTAGCAAGTGGTTAATAACCATGGTTATAACCCACTTACCATGGTTGTAAGTCTCCTAAGTGGGTTGTAACCATGGTTACTAACAAATTGCTAAGTACCCTGCCGCTTTAAGTATGGAGTGTGATGCCAACCATTATTCTTTTGGGGCTTGAACCCTGGCATCTACCAACCATTTTTTGTTGCGCCCCTTTAAAATGGTCCACACCCAAAAAGCAAGCGCCGAAACTCGGGGAGTGAGAGATAGTCCAATGATCAGCAAAAGTTCTGGAGGTCAAAGAAACCAACCGCGGTTGGAATCAACATCCCGGCGTTGGACCGCTGGATTTTTGAAACCCGACCCCCTAGTCCTGTTCATCAACCCCTGGGGGTGTTCCCTTCCAAAAGTGATAAATCCCCACTAAAACCAGACACACCCCCATATTAATACACAGGGTTGATTAATACCAAGAGTCTCCATGACCCTTTAAAAATGGGGTCATTACCCTAAATAATGGGGTCATGGACCTATTTTTGAAAGGCCATGGAGACTCCAGGTAGGGGGTTTCCATTAGACTCTGGCTTGCTTTGAGCTGGCAAATAGCTGGCGAGCCCGCAAGGACCCTCAAAAGTCAGGACCTCCATTGGGATTTGGCGACTCAAAACTCTGGGGGTTGATCCCCCATTCTGTTCAACCATCTCTTTTCAAAACAATCTACAATTCTAGGGGTTGATTCCTTGTCCATTCTTTTCAACCATCTCTTTTCAAAAACCGGCTGTTTCCCCTGGGTTTTTGATGGTTTCCTGAAACAAAGATCCCTGGAAAGAATGGATTTGGAAGGTACCCCTAGCAAAACGGGCCTCAAAACGAGGTCGCAAGATGCTTTGGGCAATGTTTCTCTCAGCTTGGTCACATCATGCGCTGCCACTTGCTGGACATGTTCGGAACCTCGTCCAGGCCCAGGCTGGTAGGCTCCAAGCACTCCTGGCTCCGAAGCCATGGCTTCGGGTGAAAGCCGAACAAATCATACATTGGCACGCTTCGGCAAACAAACATATCATCGGACTCTGACCCATAGTAAATTTAGTCTGCCATATACATGTGTATATATATATAACTTATATAACTTATGTTTAGAAGACACAGCGGATACATGGAAATGCCTTCTTGGACCCGTTTGGGTGCCGGGTTGGGTGTCCCAAGGGCATCCCAGAAAGCGGCCTCACGTTCGGAGAAGTCTCGCGGGTGACAAGTGGCTGTGGGTCAACAAAAATGGAACCAACTAGGTCCTGCAGTAGAGAGGTTAGAATAAGGGCACCCTTTTTTTCTGTGGTCTATTTTCGAGGGGAACCCCCCCCAACAAAGGGTAAAAGTGCACTGCTGAGACACCTAGCCAAAATGACACCGAAAGGCAAATGGAAAGACTAAAACGCAGTTTGCTCCAGTTGTGAACTGAGCTGTCCTCAGATCCCCCGCTAAAAGTTTAACTTTTAGTGGGCTAAATGGAGAACCTCACTAAACACTAAAAAGCTAAAAAGCTAAGAAACCGGATGGCTGGGAGCCACCAAGCGAAGAATGTTGAGCCGCAAGTTGAAACTTCTCACTTCCGCCGGGAGAAAACCCCAGACCACCAACTAAGGGTTGCACGAAGTGAGTTTCTTCCTCCGGCAAACCAAACGCCGGGCCGCAAGTTGCCTTTGTAAAGCCGCGGTTCTTCCCATGCTAGCTAGCCTTGTCTTTGGCTTTGCTGAACAAAGAAACAACATGCCAGGGACAGGTAGGCCGTCTCTGCCCGGTGGTCTTTGTTTGCATGTGGTTGGTCTCCAAACAAAAGAAGTGGCAACCCTAGGTAGCAACTTTTGCCCAGGATTGTTTCCCAGTCCTGGTTTTTGGACGTTCTGAATTTAATAGGCTGGATTGAAAAGAGGGACACTCACCATCCCAAGAGAAAAACAACTGACGCTGATATGTTCAACAAAAAAACGGTGGAACATAAAAAACAACAACGGCGCTGGGTGTCGAAGCATCCTACCTTGAACGAAATTTCAAGCGTCGCAACCCAGTTAACATGATTTTGCAGCCATTATCATGGTTGCGCCCAAATGCTGATCAGGCGCAAGAGTAGAAAATAGGTCTCTAAGAAAGAACGGCACCAAAGGGAGCCTAGCCTTGGTGTTTGGACAAGGACACCGGAAAGCAACATCATGGAAATGCTATCCCCGCCCCCCCCCCCCACCCCAAACTTCAGGTCCAGGCTGTTTCCAATTCCGCGATGGTTTGAAGGAAACCCCCATCCCAATACGAAACCCCTCCCCTCCAACTTGTCTCCCTTATGGAAGCCTGAGAAAACGATGAAGAGGAATCATATCCAATAAATGTCCATTAAACAAAACGAGGGAACCCCTTTTCCGCTTTCCGACAGTCTGTTTTAGAGGGGCCCGCGCGCATCTAAAACAACGAGTGGCAAAAAGGAGTTGCACTCACTGGAGGTTTGGGGAGTTTAAAAGTTGAGCTTGACCAAGGCAATGGCAGTTGTGAAGAAGCAGCCAGGACATGGTTGGCCCTAAAACTAGCAAACAAAACAACCGCTGGCAGTGGTTTCTCAAATGACCTTCACCCTAAAGCCTGGGTCATTTGGACCCAATTCTGGTACGGATGCCATATGTTGTTTTTTCCCCATCCTACTTAGTTTTTGAATAACTAATAACGGAAAGAAACAAAAAGAAGACCCCAATGGTGGATTCCAAAAATGTTGACAAGCAAGGGAAAACGAAGAAAAAAATACGAAGAAAAAAATATCTAATTTGCCATGGGTTCCCGCGCTGTTTTTGTTGGTTGGTCTACCTGCAACCCACCGTATTTACAGAGAACCGCTGCTATTTTGGGGGACTTCTACTTTGAGACACCATGGCGGACTTGGGGGTGTCTTTTTTGGGATGGTCAAGTTGTAACTCACAAATGGAAATAAGTAGACCCTCCCGGAGCTCGCCATAATTGGCTCCATCGTTTAATCCAGCAGGTGCCATTTCGGTGTGTCTCAAAATAGGGGGCCACAAAAAGCGAATTCCGTGTTCCAACAGGAGACCGAAGTAGGTGGGTGTCCTTGTTTGTTTCCATTAGGCAACCAACCCCCAATAAGGTACACAAGCCGTCAATTTCCAGACAGGGAGAGTTCAACATGCATCTCATTTCAGTTATGATGTTAAAGCCAATAGTCACTAATCTTTTGGCGTGGGAAAAAGGGCACCCTTTTGGTTGGTAGTCGGTTTAAACCGGAACACCCTCCAGCAAAAACAAAAACAAACTGAGTACCACTAGCTGCGTGGGTGTAAAACACTATTGAGGTGGATCTTGAGGAAAGTCGCTCGAAAAAAAGAAGAAGAACATAAACTTCGGTGGAACTAAGGAACTTCTTGGTAAACCCTCTTCCCCGGTTACATTCTTGAATGTGGTGGGGATGATCGTGACAGGCGGCTAGCTCCATCATGTCCGCCACATGCTGCTGCATCAACTTATCCACCAGCGACTTAAATTCGTCCGATAAGTACCTGACACGTGCGAAGGAATTATATGTGCCACGGTCAAAATGTGTGCTTATTACCCTAACGGGCATGAGAAACTTTCGAGCCCCCAGTTTGTTTGCAAGCATCCAAACCGAATTCCAGCAACTGTTCACAACGATGGTGACCTCAAATTCATGGCTGTGGGTTCCCACCAATCTATGGTCGTCATGGTGGTCCATTGGAATCACAGGACAAGGACCAGAGGACCTCCAAGCAAGCTTGTACCTGCCTTTGTGCGGTTTTGCGGCAAATTCCCTTTTACAGCGAGCACATAAAGCCAGCGGTAAGCTCTCGGGGTGTGAGAAAAGGACAATTTACTCCCTGTCCAATAAGCATCGAAGCCAAACAGGGGTCCCGAAAAGACAAGGCGACCCTTTAACAAAGGGTGTTGGGTTCCATGTGCGTGAGAGAAGTGCAGAGCTGTCCTGTGGGGGGCCCTGCTCCCTAAATAGGAAGCTATTGAATTGTCTCAATTCAGCAGTCAGGGGCCAGGGGCTGAACGCGGTCTTTTGACCACGCGCACGCGCATGTCGAGAATATTGCGACAAAAAGCAAACGCCATCTAGGAGAAACAATCCATTGCCTCAGGGCATGAAGGGATGGCCATGAGCCAGCGTCTTTCCCTGGGAAGCAAAACCAAGCAAACAAGAAATACAAATGCAAATTGCAGGGGTGCAGCGCAGCGAATTGGACGAAACACTTGCATCGCAGTTGGGGTTGCAATCTCAGGTACGAAGATTCCGGCAAACTTGAGCCAAAGGCTTTTTGGATCGAGTCTTGTCAGGAGCTTTTATTAATACCCCAAACACTTTCACGGAAAATCCGTGGATTGCGCGGGAAATCTCTTGGTTTGGCAAAGGGCAGAGAGAATTTGGGTTGACCCGCTGGTTTTCATGGGATGGTCATCTAACGCAGGGAGCAAACCAGTTCACGTTAGGTGATATAACGAGTACAAAAGGACCGACCAGGAAAATCGCCGCTATCCAGAAAACTCGACTTGGACCCCCTAAAAGTGAACTTGCTGCGGGCTCAAAGGAAAGATGGACAACCAAAAGCGCAAACAGGTGGGTCAAAAGCCAAATCGTACCCCCAGTGAACATCCCAATCCCCACTAAAATAGGTTCTAAAATTTGGCGGTGAATTCACCTACCCCAAAATGGGATCCCAAAACGGTTTTGACCCACAGCCAGGTGACCTAAGCCTCACAAAAGCGCATCCAGCCCAGCTGGGGCTAGTACAAAGCCGGGCTCCCCGTACACCTCTTAGTGTCAAATGAACGCCCACATTCCATCCATCGGACCCGAGCAATACGAGCAGGCCCCCAGCACAAATCGTATGATTCTGCTAAGCTGTTAAATTGCAGGAGACCTGAGCATGTTGTTTGAAGTATGTCTTTTGTGCGCGGAAACCTCACGTTTCGTTGCCTGCTTGCCTGCTTGCCTGCCTGCTTGCTTGCTTGCTTGCTTGCGTTTGCTCGTCTCCAAAAACGAGCCAGTTAACATGAATAATCATATCGGAGGAGACCCAGAATAGGTTTTCCAGTTCGAGCGCAATTGCTTCTAAGCCAGGCGGCGTCTTGGCCGGCGTGGGGAGAACACATCCTCAGACAGGGCGGAAAGGGAGCAGAACGTGCCAGTTCAAAATGAGCAAACCACAAATTGTTGTGGGAATACGGCAAAAGTAAGTTACAAGTTAGCAATCCAAAATTGTATTTGCATGCTTGTTTGTGGGAACATGGTTGCGCCTCTTTTGTGCGGAACCCCCTTTTGGTCAGCTTTTCCCTGAAAACACAAGGAAACCAACCATGGCGGGGTCCCTCATGTAGAGACAAACCCAGAATACGGGAACCTCGAGCTGGGAGGCCCCTCCTTCTCTGCTGTTTGGGCTATGAGTTTTTTTAGGGGCCTGTAACGCGCGACGCGCCACGAATCTTGTTACGGAGGTCTGTAACGGAGGTCCTTGTTACGCAGGTCTGTAAGACAATCATTTCCTGACAAGAAGTATCAGTAGCACGATGTAGCGCAGCACAACGAGGTATGTAATGGCTATGTGACGAGGTCTGTAACGAGGCAAAGCAAAGCGCGGGACGCAAAGCGCGCCTCCGCAGCTCCAGCTTAATTGCAGCTACTCAACGCAAGCCAAGCTGCGGCAAAAAGGGGTCGCTGGCCCAGGCTGGGGCTGGGTCTGTAACGAGGTATGTAACGGCTATGCAACAAGGCAAAGCAAAGCACTTGATTGCAGCTATTCAACGCAAGCCAAGCTGCGGCAAAACCAGGGCAGTCACGTCACTGGCCCGGTTTGCGCATCTGAGGTGTGTAAAGAGGGCGTGTAACGAGGGTGTGTAACGAGGGTGTGTAACGAGGGGTGTGTAACGAGCCAGCTGGTTTTGTTACAGAGGTCTGTAACGAGGTCTGTAACGAATGTCCGCCGCGGCTCTGTTACAGACCCCTCAAAAAAATTCACTGCCTAGGACTTCAGGTGCGTGGCTTTGCAGAACTAGGCGCGGGCTTTAGTTTTCAGCCACTTCAAAGTAACCAGTGGAAATACTGTGGATGGACGAAATCCAGTTCGCATCACCAACGAAACTCTGGAATGATTCGATCCCCCTGTAAGACCAACCAACAATGATTCAACCATGATTTCAAAGTAGTGCACGATTTCGTCCACCCACAGTATGGGTATGATTTCTAATTGTTGAGCCTTTGGCGGCCATTATTTAGGTGGGGGCTTATGTCCACCAACGACTTTTCAGGGTTGCCCATTGAAATTCTAGCCATTTAACGCTAACTGCGAAGTGCGGGAAAACTAGTTTTGAAGCGGAAACGGAAGGAGTATCAACAAAGATTCATTGCCTTTCCGTAGACCAAAGATTCAAAACTCCACACCAGGAAACTTGAGGCACCTACTTGCCCAAGTAGGTGTATGGCCAATGGGTGAAGCAAGGAAACCAGACAGAGCTGGCAAATTTGACCAGACCCTCAACCGGCGGGGTGAGCCGAACGCGACTTCCCCACCTAAGAGCCTTGGGATGGATCTTCGTTTTGGGCATGGGCCTCATGAAAGGCAACCTGAATAACAAATGGAACCCTGCCTCTGAACGTATGTTTGTTCTCTTGTATTCTCGTCCAGCTTTTTTGTTGCAACTATATATTCTCGTTTGATCATTTTGGGTAACTAGCGTTGCTTCAAAGGCAACTGCAAACACTGGATAGAAGGCCAAGCCTCCCAAAGGCTCCCAAGCCATTGTACCTGGCTTCCTGCTATAAGCTTATAAGGGCACGTGTCTACACAAACCACAGCCCTGGGAAACCTTGGCAAAACCCAAACACAACCCATTCCGGATGCTAGGCCCTACCAGGAATCCTTATCGTGGCTCTCTGCAAAAGCGGCGCTTTGAGTGTCTCTACTCTTGAACGTCCAAAAGAAAAAGCCGGCCTCGGAGTAAGCTACGATGTTGGTTCCGAAATGATCCGCATCCGTGAACTGAGAGTGATCAAAATCAACCAGGGTCTTCCTGTGATCCGATTTGGAGGGGCATGGCAGGCCGTGAATACCTGCAATATGGCCACAATCCATATCCCATACCCATCTGCAAAACAGGAAACTGATTTTCCAAAACAAATACCCTGACCATTGTGTCCGTTGCTCATGTGGGAATGAAACAATTATCCGAAGCGTCCAAGTGGTCTGAAAGCACAAGACAAGCCAGCAAGAAAAGCTGGAATTGAGTTCTCCAGCGACCCGGCCGGGAAGAACAAGTTTTAAAGGGAACCCTTGGCTAATTTGGACACGTAATCCGAAATACAGGGGACAAGGACAGCGAAATTGACAGGGAAATTCAACCGAAATGCAAGGGACATGCAGGGATAACAAGGGGGGCAGGGGACATCAAACGGTGAAATGGGACACGTTCTCAATCCTGGGTTGCCAAAGTAAAACAACCACAAACCATTGAAATTTAGAAGGTGTTCCCTGTTCCCTGCCTGAAATATTTGGGGCATCCGGACCTGCTTGCAAACCTTGATTTTGAATACACGCATCCTGCCCATACATCTTTCGAGCCGTCTTTATACTGCTTCCTAAGCGTCCTGCTGTGGAACCATATTCTCACGTACTTGGAGGGATGGCCACACTACCCACTGGAAAATCACTATGGGCACCAAATCCTTTGGCAACTCTAGGGTTGACGTAAGCATTGCAACCTTAACCCATGTGCCGCGGGAGAGAAAAAGAAAACACAAAAAAAAAACAAAAAACGGGGAACCTTCCCCCCCCAACTCCACCCCAACCCCCCCCCCACCCACCATCCCCTCCGACCCCCACCCCCGGCCCATCCCACCCCACCCCACCCCACTCCACTCCACCCCACGTCTCCGCTTCGCCGAGCAGCGCGGCACCTCCACGTCCACCTCCGGCGGCGCCCGCGGCTGGCGCGGGAGCTTCATGGAGCGGCCGCCCTCAAAGCCCCGTCCGAAGCGGCAGCGCCCCCCCCCCAAAAGAAAAGATCTTGGACCATCGTTGGATTTGAGAGTTCCCTTTCCAAACCCGTTTAGTCTAAACCAAACCAAATCACCTACTTAAAGGGGCCTTGTACGTCTGGTAACTGGCTAGTCCCCTCCATGGTATTCGCAGTGCTTTCTGAGCTTTGCAGCGCAAAAACTACATCCCAGCGAGCACTCCTTCTGGAGACTTCTGCACAAAAAACCTCCTGGACCCTCACTTCAAGGGGCGATCGGGCACTTGGTAAGTGGTTACCACTCCCAAAAATAAAGAACACCAAAAAAACACATCCTGGACCCTCTTTTAAAGGGGCGATCGGGCACTTAGTAAGTTAGTAAGCCTGGTGAGATAACCCACTGAACGGAGACTTATAACCATGGCTTTGGTGGGTTAGTTATAACCATATGTCCCATTGAAATACATGTTTCACACTCACAATACTGCACCCTCACATTTTCATCCCGGAGACAGGCATCCCGGGGAAAAAAAAAAAACAACAACTAGGAATCCTGGACCCTCACAATACCCTCCCACTAACAGAAGGCACCTGTCGGAGAGTACCTGAAGAACAAGTGCTCTAGGGACTGCTTGACAGGTGCCATGTTAGTGGGAAAGGGTACCCCTTACACCCAGTACCCATGTTTTTTCGGCGTATGACGTCGACCCTTTCAAAAAATACAGTAGAAAAAGTGGGTATCTGGAGTAGGGGGTACACTTAAAAATGGTGACACGACACCATTATTTTGTGGCGATATCCAGTAAGGTCTATGGGGCAAGCTGGAAACGGGGGCCGGATTTGCCTTTTGGGCTCCTGATGGAAAATAAAAGAGACCCCCCTAGAAGTTCCTAGAAGTGTAGAATCTGTTTTTGAGGGTCCTTTCATTTGCCTCCAAATCCTCTGAGGGGAGTCAAAAGGCTCCCTATATGTACCCTTTGAGCATCACCAAAAGGAAGCTCACTTTAAATTGGCCCAAAGGGTGTTGGTTTAAGCCACCAGAGCAAATATATAATAATTATTATGTGAATATACATATCGGGAACCCTGAAACGGGTCTGTCTCAAACCAGGGTCGCTTCTTGAATGGTTTCAAAGGAAAACCACAAAGACACCACTCGTTGGGGGTCCCTTTGAGAAAGACCCAAACCGGAATCCGTCAACTGCCAATTGTTGATCGGGACATGCGTCAAGTATGGGCCATCCAGGCCCATCTGCCAGGCCTTTGACCTGTTCTCATGTCCCCTGGGATTTCGCGAGCAAGCTGATAATTTTAGTGCGTGTTCCCAATGTCACCCCCAGCTGACTGTAAAACAGGACCTTAAGGCGGTTGAGTCGCAATCAAAACCCGGTACAAACATGGTCATAATCCCAGAACCATGCTTCAAGAATTAAGAAGGCGGAGATCCGCAGCTATTTGTGGCTATCGTCCCTTGCTAACCTTCAATTGAAGCCCAGTTCGCAGGACCTTGACATGGCCAGCGGCACTGGTAAATCAGGAAGCCATCCGATGCTGAGACCCATGGGGCGCAATGGACCAAACATTTGGGGATGTTGCCGCAAGCCCCAACTCTTTTGAACCCTTGTGGTCTTTGGGGTGAAGGGGGGAGGGTAGGGGCCTTAATAGTATTGGTAGTATCAGTTTGATATGACTCACTTGGCTGCTTCGGGAGGGTGATGGATTGCCTACTCAACGTGAACATTTGGATACCCCTCCAGACGGTTCAGTTTCTTCCGGCCCTCAAAAGCAACTCAAAGATGATTCTAGGGTTGATTCCTGGTCCATTCTTTTCAGCCATCGCTCTTTTCAAAGACCCATGGGATCCATTTCCCCGGGGTTTGACCGGTGGTTTCCTGGGAAGAAAAATTCGGATCCCTGGGTTCAGGATGGAAATGCCCATCTCGAGAAGCTCCGAAGCTCCGCTCCGCTCCAAACAAAACATTTTCCCCGGGTCCTCGATACCTCGACTGAAGCAACCAAGTGAGTCAGAATGAAAACTTGCACCAAAAACGCACTTGAGCTTACACCGGGGACTCACCTGGCAGGAAGAACTCACCAGTTGGAATGTAACCTTCTTCAGCCCTACCCTTCACCAAGTAACCTATATTCCTGCCAAAAGTGAATGGTAGGGCTGAAGAAGCCTTATCAAGGCGATTTTTTTAGGCCGAATAAGGCCTTGGAGGGTCTTTGGGAGATGGTCCCGGGTCCCTGGTAAAGAGGTCCACAGAAAACGCTTCTCCCCGCTCCGATTTACACAGTCTCTGCAAAGTACGGAGCAATAGGTAAGAATTGGCAATCATAATTAGGACACGTATGGGTGCGGGACATTTGGTGCTTAAACTCCATACCTCTAACACCCATAGCTGCCCAGTAACTCCGGCACAACACATGGGTGTCTCTATTGGAGGGTACCCCATGTTTGTGGTTTTTGAAGGAAACCAACAGGAAACAAACAGGAAACCAAGAGGAAACCAACCCTTGGGGGGAGGGTCCCACAAAACGACACTCCCAAATTTATGCCTTTTTTGGGGGCCGGTTTTGCGTGGGCACCGGACCCACCAAACCGGTCGACGTCTCCCAACGCAACGGTCACTGCCTCCGCGTTCAAGAGTGCCGCGTTCATCGCTGCGTCACATGGCGGCTGCATGTTGCATGTTGGTGGGAAGAAACGTGGAAACCTGCTCACTTGCTTAACGCCTCCGGGAAAAATGATCATATTTCCACTAGTGATAGATTCCCTTTGAAACCAACAAGGTGCCCATTGTTTTCTAGGTCCTCCGGTAGAGAGCTTAGAATAAGTGGAACAGTTGCTACCCACTTTTTTCAGTTTTGTCTATTTTAGTAGGGGCTTGCCCTCCCAACCAAGAAAGAAAGGTGAGAGGTCGGGCACCCTGGCTGTTTTCAGTTTTGTCTATTTTATTAGGGGCTCCCGCAAACAACGGGCAAAAGGGCACGATCCCTCCGAGGACTTGATCTCTTTCCTCAGCTCAGGTCGACCCGTTGTCGACCGCTTTTGGGCGGTACGGCTGCGTTCCAAGGCATATGCTGACGACAGCCGCTTGCAAACCGGCCTCCCAAATGTCACTTGCTCAAAACCCAGTACAAAAATGGGTTACCCAGAAACATGCTGAAAAGAATTAAGGCGGAGATCCGCACCTATGGTTGGAGTCGTCCCTTACTAACCTTCATCTACCCGGGTTTTGATTGTGGCTCAAATGAGCTTCCAGTTGCCTCTCTAGTGGGTAACCAGGAAGTACTTATGGACGAACTCCTGCAGATGGGTGGTTTGTCTCAATAGGATTTCATCCATCCATGACTGTTTTGTGGGTACAATGGACAATCCACTGTTTCCCAAAAGTTAAAGTCCAAAGATCCAACCAAATGGCCATAAAGGTAGGACCTCCAGGTTTTCAGTGATGGTCTCCCCTGATCAGTTATAGTGGCAACTGGAAGGCCCGGATTCATAAGTTCCTGGTTGATTTTGATGCGGGGTTCCCCCGCAATCCGGATATCACTTTGGTGCGCACTAGCAATTCTCTTTTGAAATAGTGCCACAGCTGTAAAAATGTGGATGGATACTCTAAACTCACTTGTTCAGTCGTGCCTCTGGAAACAAACCCTTCTTGCGATAAAGTGGGATTCCCATATCTGTAAAGAGATTTGTTTGGTATTGCGGAAAGTGGTCCTAAGATGCAACTCTCCGCAGTGGATATGGATACTCTGATCTCCGCAGTTTTTCGCGACGTGATCCGCGACGCGGGACGCGTCGGTTTTAGGCTGATGCCAACATGCGATAGCAACATACCAAGGAATTTGTCCCCTGATTGCTTCATCGTATGGGACCTGCCAGCGGTTTTACCCTAGCACACAAGCGTTTCCGGGGAAGTCCATGAAGGCTTCAAGGGAAACGCGCTGCCGTTCGATTTTGGTCCGCGGCCGGCCATATCGAAACTTCGCCCATGCTTGACATGCGCAAAAAACGAAACCGGAACGAAGCTGCTCGCTTCGAAACAGCCGCGACATGGTCGGAGTCACTCCGGCTCGAAGCTCAAAAAGGCGTCTCATTCACCATCGACTTTTCTCCACTAGGTCCTCCACTAGGGAGGCTAGAATAAGAGAATAAGGGTACCAACTTTTTGCTGTAGTCTATTTTAGTAGGGGAACCCTCCCCAAAAAAAGGGTAAAAGGGCACTACTGGGGGGCCTAGACCAGCATGCGGGGGGGGGGGGCACTACTGGGGGACCTAGACCAGCATGCGGGGGGGGAGGGGAAATGAATACTGTATTCCTAGTTGGGCCAAGTGGGGCTGGAAAAACTATGAAACCATAAATGGGTGTGGGTCAAACTAGGTACCCAAAACGGAAGCCTGGTAAATGGACGCAAGGACTAAAACCTGCGGATCCCTGGTGGTCTATTTTTTACCCATTCCCGAGTGAAGAGTGACCAAGTTCACTGGCCGCAACAGACTTCTAGGGCTTCATTCCCCATTATTTTCAACCATCGTTCTTTCCAAAAACCGCATCCGTCTTTTTTGGGTTTCTGGAGGTTTTGTAGAAAGATTCGGATCCCTGGAAAGAATGGAAATGGAAGGTATCCCTAGAAGACTAAATGTTTGGACCCTTATGAAAACAAGGACCAACTTCCGTGTTGCTGTGAAACAAACCACTCCTTGGCATTTGCCAACCGGCGAAAAGTGACAAGGGCCCCACGCAGGTTTGTGTCTTGGGCTAAACTTGTCTATTTACCACTAAAAGTGTCTTCCCAAAAAGTTTGAAGTCCATGAACTCAGGAAGTGAGTGGGGAGATATTGATTCCTTTTGCTTGGCGAATTGCCAGTCGGACTGAACTACCCAAACTAAGACCTAAGCCCCAAGAACCTGTTGCTAGAGTTTGGAAGGACAGCCCCCAAAGAAAGCCCTGCCTCGCAACTAAATGAGTCAACAAATACAAACCCGGCACTAGAGACAAGTTGACGGGCAAAAATTCGGAACCCCTTTGTGGGTGCTACAGCAAACACAACGCCCATTTTGAAGGCAACATCGAGTTCTCAAAGACCTAAAGACCTGCAAAGTGAGACAACATGACTTTGGGACCGCTGAAAATCCATGAGGCCCTCGTAGTGTCCCCTAGGCAAAAAAAAACGCCTTTGAACTGTTGGCTTCTTATTGGGTAAACCAAAGCTTGGGGTTCCTTAGCGGCATGAGTCGATCTGGACCCTCAAACTAGACATCAAAAAAAGTCGGCTATTGCCCCGACAGTACGAGCCGATTTCCATTTTTTTTCTGGCGTCCAGGTGGTGATTGGGATCTGACGCCAAAAAGAACTTGGAAGCGCCTACGCCGCGCACGGTTAGTGCTTCCAGTTGCTGTAGGTAACCAGGTCTCCTGTGAGGGGTAACGTTTGAAATAGCCTGGTTGAGTTGGCAAGTTGGCGAGTGCAAAGTTATTTGAGTCACTATCAAAACCCGGAATTTACCCAGAACCATGTAAGGAAATGCAAAGATGGCCGCATCTGTTTTTGGCGACTGTCCTTACTAAGTGGCTTAAGTGAAGAATCATCAGTCTCAAACTGTTCTTTATTCCTTTGAACTTACTGATGGTAAGGTATTCTTAGCTCTAGGCTTACATGATGTTCAACTTAAGTCTTGGCAAGTGCTAGCTGGATCTGGGGGCATGGAAGCCTTACGGTTGTCTAAACTCCCGGTGTCTATGGCACATTCCACAATTCACCAGACAATCACAGGCAAGCCACTTCACAGCGAAAAGGAACTTTCTGCGTGACTGCTCCTTCGATTCATGTGAAACCCACATGACTCTTCTTGGGGGAGCCTCCTTTTTTTGGGGATCCTAACCCAGAGGGTCTAAGTACCTCATGAGGATGGTTCAGTACCTCTGTAGAAGGTAGCAAGGGACCCTCTGGGTAACAAGGAGTTAGGGTTCCATGTCTTGCCGGGATAGTACCTCTTCATGCTCAGAGTCAAAAATCGGATCACTCTAACATGTAACGGCCACTAGGTCCTCCGGTAGAGAGGTTAGAATAAGGGTACCAACTTTTTCTGTAGTCTATTTTAGTAGGGGAACCCTCCCCCAAACAAGGGTAAACGGGTACTACTGGGGGACCTAGGCCAGGTAAATGGAAACAAGGACGAAAATATGCGGTCCATATGGTGGGTTCATCTTGACCTGTAGTTCTAGGGGCAACTTCCAACCATTCTTTCCAGGGATCCTTCTTTCTAGAAAACCACCAAAAACCCTGAGGAATTGGCGATCGGTTTTTGAACAGAACTTCTGGCTGAAAAGAACGGACCAGGAATCAACCCCTCGAGTAGTGACGTTTTCCTGGTGACCCACAGTGGCTGGCGGGCTCGGAAGCACGGGCACCTGCATGGTACGACTTCAGCTCGGTGATGCAACACCGGAGTTGCCAACCAAAGGTGGGCCAATTGCAATTTCAGCCCGCCCGCTAACGGGAGAAACGGGCAGTTGTCAAACAGCCTTTCAAGAAAATGATCTTGGGCTTCTTAGCACCCAGAACCCCCCAAATGGCTGGTGTCAGTGTGATGGCTGTCAGAACCTGCCTCCTGGGCACGTGTTTCTTGGGGATGGTCTCATCTGTTGGTGGCTTCTGCCATCATTGGCGTTGCTGGGTCCAGGGCGTTTTTTTTTTTTTTTTTGTAGACCTCATGTTTGTTCAGAACACAACCATTTACGTGGGCATTTCTCCAAAAGCAGCTTTTGAAGGTTAGTTGGACAAATGTTTAACTTATATTTCCAAAGTCTAAGGTCGAAGACCCGCAGCACTCTACTAGTGCTCCAAGGATCGCGACACACTGCCTCAAAACACTCAGAAAACCCCACGGACAGAATGTGCCATGGTGCGCAGCCCTCTATTGACGGGTAGCTTCTCACGCATGGCATCGGGTGTGGGTTTTCCGTGAGTCGGCAAGTTGGCGAGTCTGGGAGCCATTGTTGGAGTCAAGCATTTTTGGGGTAGGTACCACCCATTTTAGTGGGATTGGGATGTTCACTGGAGGTACGGGATTTGACCCATGGCCATTTGTTTCCAAAAGGTCCTGACAGGGCCTTTGGGGTTCCACCACAGACCAGCCATGATTGCCATGGGTCCTCACATCAATGAGAATCCTGCACCAGGTAGGTCGGTTGGACGGTGGTTTGTCCCAACATGTTGCGGACATCAACCAAGCAGCTAAGGAATCAATCGTGCTGTTATTGGTGTCGTACATTGTCGAAGGCTTCTTAATCATCTTGCTGGTGCGATAGGCAAAGAATGAGGGAAGGACCCCATAAACCATCCCCTATGGTTTCCTTTTAGACCCTTGGGTTCATTCCATTTCTCATTCCCTCGCTATCGCACCAGCTCATTGATTGATTCGAATGGCTGCAATTTAAGGTGAGTGACCCTTTCCAGTGGACCCAGGGGCCCCATGCGGTAGGTAAACAGCCATTTTCCTTTTGGTTTCTAAAGGGTGGCACACCCTTGGTCACCTAGGGAAATAGGGAACTAGATCCACTAAATGTTGGGTGGTATCATGTGTCTGTTGGTCGGGTCGAGCTCAAATGGGGCCTCCCGGACTCCGGAAAGCGTGTCGCAATCGCGGAGAAATCGAAAATCGGCGGGGTGTGAACCCAACGCCCACTGCGCCCGGCGACTTTTTTGCTGAGGAAGCCAAATCCAAGCTGGCTCACCTCGAAACCCATGATACGGCTCTATAAGAAGCGGTCCTTGTGCCCCTTTGGACCCAAGACGCGCCAAAAAGATCTACGAGCATGGGGGCACGTCGGCTGGGTGCTGGGTGTCCTTGAACCAGTCAACAATTTTCAAGCAAACCAACCCTCTGGGCGTTGGCATCCGAAACTGCTTGAAGGCTCGGGGAAATCTGAATTGTCCAAAGACTTCGGTCACGGGTCACACCAAAGACCCGCCAAGGAACGAGGCCAAAAACCCGAAAAGGACACCAGCAGCACTCAGGCCTGCAATTGACTGGTGGGTTCCATTGAAACCGCCCACTTCTGGAGGTTCAAACCAGTCATTGCTAGAGTGACCAGTCCCTGTCACAGCTCGGCTTCGCTGGCATTCTTTACGGAGGTGGCCTTGATATGCTTGAAGGTTGACCTCTCAAAGACGTCCTGCACTTGAAGCACGCTAGCTTCCGGATCCTGAGCGCAGAGTTTGGCCATCCGGCAACGAAATCACCGCCATTTCTCCAACAATCACCTCCATTTGCTTCAGTCTGGAGAAAAAACTACCTCCAGTAGTGATGATTGTCTCTATAACTCACCTTAAGGGAAAATCAACCATCTTCGAAAGCAATCGGAGCATCCTTTGGAGCTGACAGGAGGGCTTGGACAAACAAACAAAAAAGGTCTAGCAACCGCCCATCCACTTTGATTGCTGGAGAAACAGGGCTCTATATCTCACATGCCCAGTGGATTTCCATGGAAAAAACAACAACACAAAAAACGAATCGGCATCCGTTTTTTGGTGGGTTGACTTTGAAGGAATCGGAGCCCTTCCCCAAAAAAGTTGAAAACTGTGTGGAATCCGCTGGGCACCTGGGAGATGTGTCCCCTTACATCACCCTACCAAAAGAAAGAGTGGAAAACAAAGGGACCTAAAAAAAAGAAAGGGGAGCTAATTCTTGGGAAGTGTTGGGGTCCCCCCCAATTTTGACGACCCCAAGAGGCGCCATGAAAGAGATGTGCGGATGTAGGAGCCCGTCGTGAAAAAATCCCTGCCTAGAGTCTCCATGACCCTTTAAAAATGGGGTCATTACCCTAAATAATGGGGGTCATGGACCTACTTTTAAAAGGTCATGGAGAATCCAGGTAAGCCATTGTGGCTAAGATTGCTAACAGGGTCAAAATAACACCCTGGGATTACACCCTTGGGAAATGACCCATGGTTGAAAATAGCACGGTTTTATCTGGAAATGTGCCTTTTCTGGGGTCAATACCCAGCGGGTGTATTCCCAGGGTGTAATACAAAAACCAGTAGACTGTAAACCCTTGAGGCTGAGATTACTAACAGGGTCCCCGAAAGGTTCTCAGGATACCGTGGTGCCGGATGCGGGATGGATCCCTCCATTTGCTTAAGTCCCCTGGAAAAGGTGAAAAAACAAAACATGTCCAACAGTGATAGATTCCCTTGAAACCAACAGGGAAAAATCAAACACATATAAGCAAATGGAAGTATCCGTCAAGGAAACCTGACAAATTTAAGCCCATCCTGCAGGACCCATTGATATTTGTATCTTTGTCGAGCTTTCGTGGCAAATAAGTGCGCGAGAAATGGTAAATGCACACACATGCAAACAAACGGATTGCGGGTCAGAGCTTTGGCTTTGAACACTTTTTAGAATTGCGCCCGAGTTGCGGACAATTGCGCTCGAGTAGCGGGAAACTGCGCTCGAGTTGCGGATTCGATTTCCCTCGAGCACTTCACCAAAGCAACTGGGCAACCTCAAAAAGTGCTCGAATTGGATTTGAGCAGAAAAACAATTCTCGAATGCCAAAACTGGTGCTCCAAGACTCCAAGGTGGATCACCTGAGGCTTAGTGGCTTGTGGGCCACGTTTGGGTGCATATTGTTAGGAGCCCGAACAAATGGTGGCGCTGTCTTTGGCTTCCCTTTAATGCAACCCGAACATTTAGCGGTTTAATTCGGAAAGCCCATTAGTTGGCAAAAAGTTCAACGTCCGAACATCCCTTGGCAACATGCACCAAAGAAAAAAACGGATCCCAAAAAAGTCGCAGGGGCTCAAGGTCACACCAAAAACGACCAGCCAAGTCGGCCGCTTGAGTTTGGGGTAACCAAATTCGCTGAGTGAGCGGCGGCTTGGACGGACAACGCCCTCAGCACCTCTTCGAACAAAACCTGTCGCGCGGAGTCGGGGTTGATATATAAGTTGTAGGGTACACCAACAAATATATTGTTTCATATTCAGTCAATCGCAAGATATCTAGTATCTATTTTCTGAGACCCCCGCAAGACGTGTGAAACAATTGCACACCTTACCCTGGGTTTTGGATGGAGGGTCAAAGTTCCTCCTGAGGCAATTGGACCCTGAGAGACCAGCCGTGGCCATTTCCAGAGGCGCTCACACCGTGGATGGCTGCGAAATCCGTTTCGCACGACCGTTCAGAAACCCTGCATGCCCCTGTAAACACCAACAGACAACGGTTTCAACCATGGTTTCAGTTCGTGCTGGATTGTAGCCATCCACAGGTGTAAGGTGTGATGAGTCGCGTGAAGAAAAAAAACGGGAAAAACAACGAAGTTCTCCCACATGCGGCTTCTTACACGTGGCTGTGCGTGGGGCCCCTTGTTTGGGTTGGTTTAACAGGGCTCCCCATATTCCCCTTAAAACATCACCCCCAAGGGCTACTCACCTTTCATGGACCAAAAAGGTGATGTTTAAAACCACCAAAAGGAGAACTATAGGGACGCCTGTTTAAAGGAACACCAAAAGGACATAGGACAACTTCCATTTTTGGCGATCTCCGATTCCGTCACATCCTATATGACTTTTTTTTGTGTGTGTGTTTCTCAGTACCGCTTCTTCGGGTTGTTTCAAAGGAAAAAAGCAAAGGACCGAGGCCCATTAAGGGGGGTGGCCCTATTGGGGGGGAAAACCAAAGTCATCCGGGTATCCCCCCAGCGCGAGACATTCATCAGAATTCATCAGTCCCTTGCTTTCTTTCACCCCCTGCAAAAAAAAACTTTGTTGGAAGTAGTGATAGATGCCCTTTAAAACCAAGAAGGGAAAACAACCAATGTTCACTTCAGCAAATGGAAGTTTTGAAACCCCGACGATATCCCACGTTCGCCTACGAGGGTTGGCCAAAAGCCAAGTCACCCTGGTTGCTGGCGGTAACGACCCCCTCTGCACAACGCTTGTTCAACTTCTTTTGGGTTCAATACAGAAAACCAAGTTGATCTCAACCACAAACCAAAGTCTAAACCCTGGGTTCAACCCCCATTAAAAGAATGGCAAGGCCAATTTGGATGATGACAATCCTTAGGTAAATAATGGTGGATATATATATATATATATGAACCCAACATAACGCAACCGTCGTTATCATGGAAGTTTTAACCCGCTAGCAATCAAAGAACTTTTCACAAACATGGTCCAAGCAAGTTCAGAAGCTTTGGGCTTGAGACCAGAGACCAGCGGAACTCTGAGACCCGTCATGTACCGACTTGTTCAGGGATCCTTAGATTATACACCTGAACATTGCAACTTGTAAACGGTGGTGTCCCTTTATTTTGGTGGAACAAGCCATGTTTCAAATGGGCAAAATGTATCTCTTAAGGAGCCCTGTTGTTCTTGGGGGGTTTAAACATGGTTCCATGGTCTACATTATAGGAGTTTCATGAAAATGGCCACCCTTCTTGTCGGGTTTGATGCTGGTGGGATTCGCCCCAGGTTGAGTTTCAAGGACCACTGCAAGTTTTGGACTCTGCTCTTTAAACCAAAGAGGCAACAACACACAAGCAACCAACCAGACTAAACCCAGCCAAACCAAAGCAAAGCGAACAAACAAAACCAACAAAACCAAACAAGGCCAACCAACCAGTTCAGCTTCGCGGCCCCTGCCAAAAAAACAAGCCCTCCCGCCCCCCGCCAATGTCCACCGCGCCGAGTTTGGCCGAAGTCGAGTTTTCGCATTCGCTTGGCATGGCCTCGAAACAACAACAAAAAGAACAGCCCTCCAACGGATTCATTCGCCGAAGCCGGGTTTTTCCCGCCGGTTTCGAATCTGGGTTGCCCTCAATTCCCCCGCCAAAAGTGACATACTTTTAGTGGGTTAAATACGGAAACTACCACTAAACCAGCTAAAAGGATCTAAAAAGATCTAAAACGTTAAGGAACCGGATGGCTGGGAGCAACCAAGGAAATGGGAAGGACGGTCTCTTGCTTGGTATTGGTTGGGAAGCAAAGGAGGAAGCCAGCTGGGCATTCTATGACCAAATCAGAGTCGCCTCGATCTTGGTTTCCATGCGCCAAATGTCCAGGGCTTTGGCGCTGCCCCGCAGCCGGCCGGCACCCTCGATGAACTCCACCAGCCTCACTCGGAACCGCCCAGCCCACCCCTCTCCCCCCAAAAGGTCCATGGCACCGAGTTCCTCTTCGCCTGCCTGGAGTCTCCATGACCTTTTAAACATAGGTCCCTGAACCCATTCATTAGGGTAATGACCAACCACTTTTAAGGGTCATGGAGACTCTAGGTACAGGTGGAATTTTGGTGAAACCCTGGTGGAAGCGTGGAACCCGCGTAGAACCCTACCTCAGGGCTGCCCCGGACCACCCCGGAGCCTATCTGGGCTGAGACCCAACTTTCGGCGATTGGGGAAACAACTCCGGGGTTCGTCCCTTCAGGTCGCCTCCGAATTGACTCAGGGCTACCTGATACAGTTCCAGGGGCCTGGGGACCATGGATCACTAGCAACCAGGCGCCAGGCGCGTGCGACCAAAAGGAAAAGCAACGGGAATAGGCAATTTCACTTGAGGGACTCTCAGATGTACTTTTCGGGGTGGTCTCCCTTGAAGCAGAGCTAAGGTCCTGAATATGAACCGCTTTCTAAGTCGATCTCGCGTTCTCTGAGAGTACCTGAACAGCATCCCGGAGACCGAAGCCCTGGTCGTGCAGCACGGTATTATATGCGAGAGGTTCGATACTTTCATCCGAAGATGTATTGGCCATAGATGAATTCGGACATTTGCCGGGTGAAAACCACCTCCTAAGTATGGCTACCCGCTTTGAGGGAATCTCAAACTTCGCTGAATATTGGTAATCCCAGCATTTCGTGGGTTCAATTAAGGTCTCACCCCCTCTTCATAAGCGCTGTCCCGAATTGTGGCATTCTGCTTGTTGATAGCTCGCAGACAAGTTCACTGCAACATTGGCCACCTTCATGGTGCAAGCTCCTCGTTTGTGAGACTCACTTGCCCGAAGGACGGGGAAACCATAGCTTCCCCTTTTTGAAAGTGATGACAACTAATGGACGGATAGGCTGATTTACAAGCGGAGCACGCAAGTCTCTGACTGAATGAATGCAAACTGGAAGTTGTCATACCAAACCCCTTTTTGTTGCTTCGGCAAACTTATAATTCCGGCCAGCTTATAATTCATGGAGATTCAGCACCCAGTTCTGGGCAACAGTTGCACACTTGCTTCGCAGGGTGATGTGGCTTGCTCTAAGCACTCGCAAACCTAAAAAATCAGCTCCGTGATATCCCCCAACAGCTTGAGGTGCTCTTTTTAGTGCCGCCCTCGCAGAGCCCTGTGGAACCCTCGTGGAACCCTGGTGGATCCTGGTGGAACTCTGGTGGAACCCGCGTGGAACCCTCGTGGAACCATACCTTAGGGCCGCCCCGGACCACCCCGGAACCTATCTGGGCTGAGACCCCAAAGCTTTCAGCTGTGGGGAAAATTGAACTATGCCTTGAAGGGATCCTGTGCCATGGAGAAACTTGCACATTGTTTTGCAGCCTGATGTCAATCTGTTTTTTGTCATGTTGGTCCCCTTCCCAAACCACAGGGCGCCCAAATAAACCACCACCAAACACCGCCCCATGCCAAGGTGGTGTTTCAGCCCGCCATCCTTACCTTACAGCTCCATCTGCAGGGATCCTTTGCGTCACAAAAGAGCGTGGGGAAATGGGATGCTAAAGAGAATGGTGGATGCAGATGGGAAATCAAGGAGCCAAACAACATTCCGGAAAGGGTCCCTAGCGTTGACAGCGCAAAGCTCAAGTGCACCTTGCCGGTCCACTGCCCCACTTTGTGGTCGGCAAACTTTGGTAGAGATCTGGAAGTCCAGGTGTTTGGATAACCCCCAGTCCATATCAGCAGTCCAGCGAAGTGTCACGCCCCAATGCTCGGAGCTTCCAGCGTGGCAGGGGAGCTCTGGGGAGCCCTGTCTGGCTTGGCCGGGGCGCCGTGCTTTCATTTTTTGGTCGGAGGTTGCGAAAAAAGATTGCTGCGCATGCCGCCGAGCGGATGTGGTTATCCTGTGCGTGACAATACATTGCTGCGCGCTGTGCTTACCGCGGTCGTGACTAAAAGCATTGCTGCGCACGTACTGTGGAACGGATGTGCATATCAGCTTTGGCGAGAGTGGCGTGGCACTGTGAAGGGCCGGCGCCTGACACCCTGAAACCTGAGAACAAAGCTGTTAACCGAAAAAGCTATAAAAAAAAACGAGGGGCGGTTCAGACGCCGGCGCCAAAAACATGCTTAAACACTTGATGACCAGGGGATGTTTTCAGTGAAATACAAGGGGCAAGCGGCGAACTTCTGGGGAATTTGAAGGTTCCGCTCATGTCGGCAGCGTGGTCTGGCAACACTCATCTAAGCTCACACCTCACACTCGGAATCTAAGGGTTTTATTTGCAGGGATGGCCGCAATGGATATATAGGTGAGGACGGAGGGCTTGAGTTGTAGACAACGGGGCTGTTTGAGACTCCTCCGAAACGCAAGTGGGGTCGGAATCAAGGCCGGGTATTGAAACGGTCTACCCACAACATGTAAAGAATTAGAAAGGCGGCTGCGCCCATTTATGGTTGGGATTACCTTGCTAACCTTCATCTACGCTTGGAACAGCCCAAACAAACAACCCGTCAAACTAACAAAAACTGTCTGAGGAGCGTGATCTGTCCATCGCCATTGTCCAGAAATTCGAAGAGGCTGAGAAGATCGTGATACTCCAGCCTCAGGTGTTGGAAAATCGGTGTCCAAGAAACATGTTTTGTCTCACTTCCTGAGTGGATGGGCCAACAAAGGGTCTACTTTATTGCTTGTGTCAGTTTCCAAGAACACCCCTCAACACAATGTGGTTGGTTGACAAACACTGGCGCTCGCCGCAAAGCAGGTCGGTGTCCGTTGCACGTCCATTTCGTTCAACGGGCTTCGTATCGTCAAAACCGTTCCTATGCAGGTAGAGAAGACTAGCCTCGATTCTTCTGTTTGCTCGTGGGCAAACGGTCCCATCCTTGTTTGATCGTCCCTAAACCGCCAGTCCTGTCGCCTAATATTGATGATCCGCGTCCAGGAAGCTGCAAGCGCTGGACTCAAAACCAAGCAAGGTATATTGAAAGTAGGAACACAATAGGGGGGCTGTATATATATATATATATATAAACACTCAACTGCGCTCCTATTATTTCACCAGCAAGCCGGGGTTAATCAAGAAAATTGGAAATATCTTCACTTCAGCGTACTCTTCCCTGAGTACAGTAATCCCTCGTGGACAAGCCCCAAATACATAATTCTGGTCCCTTCACCCTTCTGTTTTCACGTCCCCTGGCCTCCTCTTTGGAGGACGCGCAAGGGTTGGCTGAAACTTTGCATTCTGAAGCACGAGGAAAGGCAACCGAGACCTGTTGGGTACTTTCGTCTCAGCCATCAAGGCTAGACCCTCATTGAGGCAAATGCGTGCGGTGCAGGCTGCAGCCCGCCGACCCTGTTGCAGCAACTTATCAAAGTTTCCATGCCTGGAAAACCAGAAAGTAGCACCTCCGCATCTGAACAAATAGGGGCGGAACCCATGTCCAAGCATTCCTGAAAGCGTTGCCTCCAAGCATACGCCTTGGGCCATGTGGCTCATACAAAACTTCCACAGCCAGAGGAACATTTTTCAGATTGAGAAGCTCTGCAGCTTGAAGAGCCAATGGAAATCCAACAGGAAGCCGCAAAAGAGTACCACTCTTGAAACAAAGCATAGCCAACCTCACGGCTCTCCCTCCCATTGTCCCTCAACCGATCCTCGCGGCTTCGGCCTCTAAGCCCCTTTTTACCCCAAGGGACCCTCCGGGAATGGTTGGGGGGGTTGGGGGTCAGATCTCACTTTGAGATCTGACATACCGAAGCTCCAAAACCGGACACTTCCAGGCTCGTTTTTACCTAAAAAAGGCACGCTCTTTCCGAGCCGCGCGCTGAGGCGTGGATCTGTGAGAGGTTCCTAGACGAACCCCTGGCTTATCTGGGTGTTGGAGGCTCCAGACTGGGAAGATGACAATCGGACCCCCCACCCCTCCAAAACTAAATTGAACAACCCACCTCCGATTGAGGGGACCGGCCAACCAACATAGAAGTTCAAACTTTTTGTTTGGCGAAACGGCCATGGGTTGCATCACCTATGGCTTCATATCCCATGTTTGGGTGGATGAACATCCATTTGCCACCTATTTTGATGTTCACCAGGGGTTTCGAGGGGTTTTGACCAGTGATATGGTCCAACCCCAACAAGCGACAAATGCACTCAGGGAGTGAGAAAAGGGCCAGACGGGTGAGCACCTACCGTCCAAGGTCCGCGCTCCAGTTGGCTCATCCAAAAATTCAGCTTTGGAGACTGCACCAACCTCAGCGAACACAAATCGAAATCCAAATCGTACCCTCAGTGAACATCCCAATCCCCACTAAAAATGCACTAAAATGGGTGGTGAATTCACCTACCCCAAAATGGTACCATTGGTGTTGACCCGCGGCCAAATGGAGTCTTGTTTTAAAGATCCGGGCTGTCCGTTTTTTCAGATCTGCCAAAAGTGAGTTGAACTTCTAGTGGGTACAGTGGAAAACGCCGCTAAGACCTAAACAACTAAAAAGCTAAGGGGATGGCTTTGAGCCACACCCTTCAAGGGTGGTGGTCGTTTTGGTTTTCCTTTGACACCACTCCTTTGTCGGATACCCTCAACAAAAAGTCACACCCAAGTGAACACTCAAGTTCAAACCCAGTGGAAGAAAACTGAGACAAACGCAAACCTTCATTCTATGGGTTTGACCATCCGGATGGTCCTGCATCTTCAGTCACATTATCTTGCGAGTCCAGGAACAAGCAGGGTAGAAACATGGTCTACAAAACCATGCAAACAATCTCAATGGAAACATGGAAGGAATGTGAAGGAGGGGAAAGTGAACACTGTTTGCTGGTCAAAAGACAGAATAAATGGAGCTAACAAAAAACACAATTATCATCCAGTGGATCCCAGATACTAGCATGGTAGGAAGCCAACCAGTCTCCTGTTAGTTACCTACTATACAGGTCACCGGGCAAATGGCATCACTGGGTGAGCTAAGATAGTCAATCTCTCCAGAAAACCAAGGCAAGATGGAGGAAACCACAAAAACAAGCAAGGCACCACATCTCTCGGCTACTCGATCTAGCTGAGTCGTTCGAGCTCCATGGTTAGGTCTAGCTGGAAGCACTGCCCGGTTCAGAGAACCCCGCAGAACAAGGGAATCCTTTCTGGGCTTGAGTATTTCTCGTGGAGCCGCATGAAAAGGGAGCGAGAGTGTGCCACCTCCCTTTTTGGGGAGTGCTTTTAGTGACTACACTGAACAGCGCCAGCAAGTGAAGCGTGGTGCCTTAAAATAGGGGAGTTCAAAAATGGTGATCTTCTTATTGGCTTTCCCGTTAACACCTCTCCAAAACGGCTTGAACGGGTCCCCTCAAAGAGAACACCGGTGGAGACAAGTCTGGGACTCTGGGACGTTTGTTTTCCCTGGCTTCTTCCTTGTAACTTGCTTGGCCTCCCGCACTTTCAATCCCCTGCTTTCCCTTCGCCGTGGCTTTCCGCCGGAGATTTCCGATGTTGGGCCCCATGGAACCCAAAGTTGGGCCAGGGTCCGAGGTTCTTTGGGCCCCATTTTCCTCCCAGAAGTGGGTGTGGCTCAAAAAAAATCGGAGCTGGGGCAAACCGCAGGTTTTAGGCTTTGGTTCCATTTACCAGGGCAACCCATTTTGGAATTCCGGTTTTTTGAGCCACAGCCAAGTGGTAGTGGTCAGGTGAGTCGCAATTAAAACCTGGTACTAAAATGGTCTACCCCACCTGTAAAGAATTAAGAAGGCGGATATCCGCAGCTATTTATGGCAAGGGGATCGTCCCTTACTAAGCTTCATCTACCCGGGGTTTTGATTGTGGCTCAGGTGTTGCTAGGAGGCTTGGAGAACTCGTCCAGGCTGATCGTGCCGTCCCCCGAGTCATCGATGGATTGGAAGAGCTTCTTCACCTTTCCTCGCGAAGCGCCAGCGGGAGTTGGATCGATACCCCTTTTAGGTTCACAAGTGTGCGTCCTGGGCACCGGGTTTTTGCACCCCAAGCGCTTTTGTCATGATTTCATGTGATTTGCCTACTTGGAAACCCCAAACCGAAAAAACCTCGACTTAGGTCTGGCGAAGCGGAAACCAGCTTCGGAAGGCCAGAACCAAGAGGGTCTCTTGTTCATGAGGATGGCTTTTGGGGGGTAAAAAGGGGTCGTTCAGTACCTCCTTAGAAGGTACTTGGACCCTCTGGGGAACTTTGAGGTCCCCCCTCTTGTGACGCATCGTTTCATGGGTCGTTTTATTGGGTGATTCTCGAGGAAAGAAGGTCTAACCTGGTCGATTCCTTTTTGGCTTCCCAGTAACATACCAACCAAAAAGGGGGGCATGTTGAGAAACACGCCCCACATTCACTTGGACAACACGAGCAATACTAACAATCAATCGAATACCTCCATTGACAACCCACAAAAAACAATTAAAACAAACAGAAGAAAAAAAAGAAGAAAAACAAAAAAGGAAGAAAAAACAGACACACCCATTTGCATTGCTTCCCAACTCCCAACAAAGATCCTCGTGCCACAGGCGCCAAGTGAGTAATTTGACGGCTGAAAATCCCCGGGTCCAAATGGGCGAAATGCGAAAGCCCAAACTTCTCCCAGCCCATGTTGGCCCTGAGTCCTTTTTGGCGCAAACGAGTGCATCTAACAAAACATCTAGGTCCTCCAGATTTGAGAGGTTAGAACAAGGGTACCCGGTTTTCTCCTTCTTTTTTTGTAGTCTATTTAGTAGGGGAGCCCTCCCAGCCCCAAAAAAGAAAGGGGTGAGAAAGGGCACGATTCTGGGGGAGCTAGCTAAGAACCAAGGGGCGGTTGTACATGCTGATCTCCCTCTCTTTTTGTCTGAAGGCGAGCTCATCATCCGAGCTGGCCGTCTTAAGCGCCTTGCCGCTCGGCGGAGAAAAACAAACAAAAAACGGTGGCCCAGTACACGTGGTCGCTACTTGGAGGTTGGGCACCCGTACTCATGGCTAACTCAGTTGTTCAGTGACCCTGGAAAAAAAGGAGACCCTTTTTGGGGCTTGGAGCATTTTTAGTGGGCCCACCAAATAAAAAGTTAGAAAAAGAAAAAGAATGGGTGCCACTGAAGAACTGAGCTATATGCTTGCTAAGCCGGAACCTGCGAGGGGCCTGCTAGGTAAATTGATTGGGTTCCTTTTGGCTCCCTTTCAACCAAATGAATCAAAACACATATAGGGCCCTATTATAGGGATCCTTACACTATACACCTGAACATTGCCTTGCTTGTAAATGGTGGTGTCCATTTCTTTATTTTGGTTTTCAAAAAGCCACATGTTTCAAATGAAATGGTTGCAACATGTATCTTTTAAGGAGCAGTGTCCAAGACATGGATTTGAATACGTCCGAATGCCGTTCAAAAGCTCGGGACACAATGTGCCATCACAACGGGATTTGAGAGCATCGGAGAGTGAACCCATCATCATCGTCGTTGTCAACGTCGTGGTCGTCGTCAAATTTGTCATCGAACTCGTCGTTATCACCATCGCCACCCCCATTGATGCTGCGGATGAGGATGAGGATAGGATGATATGAAGAGGAGGATGATGATGGTGATGTGATGCTGGTGGCGCTGAGCTCAGTTCCTCATTCCTTTTGGGTTGTCAGGGTAAACTAATGGAGTCATCGCCCATGCAGAAAATCAAGCCCGGGCTACTCGCTGAAACCACTTCCTCTACGATCCAACCTGGGATTGGCGCCTTTTTTAGCCCCGCTTCAAGCGACTGTGGATGGACGAAATCCATTTCGCACCACCCAAGAAGTGCTGGAATGATGATTCGCCTGTAAATACCAACAAACAATGGCTTCCCATGGTTTCAAAGTGGTGCAGGATTTCGTCCATCCACAGTATGATCCTCTCACTTGCCCAAAGGACCCAGAAATAAAAGGTTAACCTTTTGGGGCCATGACTAAAACTAGACCAAAAAGGAGAAACCAAAAGGTCAAAAGGTCGGCTTTGGGCAACTGAGTCCTTTGTTGGGGGGCGGAATGAATCGCGCTCGATCAGCACCTGCTGCACGAAGACAGCCCCAACCACGTTGAGCACAGCAAAGCCCACCACGCACCTCGCAACCGCCGGTTGGGCAGGGCCTCTGAAAACGAATCAACCAGCTATCAATCTGCAGAGGGCCCCTTGGTACCTTCTAAGGAGGTACTGAACGACCCCTTTTTACACCCCAAAAGCCATCCTCTGGGATCTTCAAGCTGTCCTAGTTTTAGCAATCAAAACCTGGAGAACCAAAAACATGTATTCAATGTTTCCTTGCGCACGAGGGAGGCCCTTATGAAGACTTACAGGAAGGGTTGCCTTATGTACCATGGGCCTCGTCGCAGGTAGTCTAAATCCGAAATTAAAGGGTCCATGACCAGCCCTACAAACCCTAAATATTTCGGGGTGCTTGATCCACAGCATTGATGGCAAGGTTCCACCTACTCTCACATGAGACACGGCACCCTTTCGCTGGGGTCCCGGAAAAAAAAAAAAAAAAAAAAACTCATCGGAAAAAAAAAGAAGGAACAATGGTAAACCGGATTGATTCTCATCTTTGCTCACCCACTCGCGCCCTCGCGCCCTCGCGCTCTCGCAGGGCCCGGCCTGTAGAGCAGGAAGAACACGGAGAACCACTCGCTGACATTCTCCACCAGGATTCGACAAGCGGGGCCCCAGTTCGCGAACATGATCTCGAACATCCTGGCGCGACAACAAAGGATTGAACCTGAACTGGGCATCATTTAACTGGGGATGTGGGACTGAACAAAATCAAGTCCGGAGGCCGGCGCTGCAGAACTTTGTGGACAAACCTGCGTTGACACGTAGTCTAACAAAAGTATACACCCCCGGCTTTGCCTGGCTCGGCGGACAAGATGAACCGGATGCTTCTTCCACATCCCGACATGCCAAAGGAATGCTTCTGATTGTAAGCATGGGCATGGTGCCAGTTATCAAGGATAGTTGCTGGATAGAAGAAAACACAGACTGGGGCCAGGGGAATCCCATCCCTTTAACAAACCCAACACGTTTAGACGCAAACCTGTGCAGACTAAATCTACGATCTGCGCTCATAAGACCAATCGCTCACCAACCAAGTTTTCACATCGAGACGAAACACGTTGCGCAGATCAACGCCAAGCAACCACTCGAAGCCACAAAGCAAGCCCCTAGTCCACGGGGACCAGGTTTGTTGACGTACCCCCGAATGGCGCCGGGCCCTTCCCAACCACGACTAGTCAAGGACCTTCATTGGGTGAGCTCGTTTTACCCCCACGGACTCGCTATCGCTGCAGGATGACCAAACCTACGCCAAACATGCTGAGGAATCGCGCCAAACTTGCTGATGAATCATAGCTTCGGGGTTTGCTTTCAAGGAACTCCGTCTTTTCAATCAAACGTCTGCTTTGAGACATGGGGTTGTCTTACAATTCAGGGGTCCAAAACGCTCCCTTGCAACACCGACACGCCCAAAATCATTCCGAGCGTCGAGAGGATGGTCCGGGAAAACGTTCCGTAATACCTCGAAGGAAACCGCCCAAGATGTTGCAGGCGAGCTTAGTTCAGGGGTAACGGGCAAACCCGGGCCTCACACTCACGTTCAGTAGCAAATCGATCTGTGGGGAATACGGTGTGTGGACTTATTGCAGGCGTACTTGCACAATATAGGGCATCTGTGCTCCATTCACGTTGAGCGAAGAGACAGTAACATTTATATAAGTGTCCTATGCTGCAAGCAAGCAAGCAAGCGAGCGAGCGAGCGAGCGAGCCAGCAAGCAAGCAGGCAAGCAAGCGAGCGAGCGAGCGAGCGAGCAAGCCAGCCAGCCAGCCAGCAAGCTAGCGAGCGAGCGAGCGAGCCAGCAAGCAAGCCAGCCAGCAAGCAAGCAAGCGAGCGAGCGAGCCAGCCAGCAAGCCAGCGAGCGAGTCAGCAAGCAAGCCAGCGAGCGAGCCAGCAAGCAAGCAAGCAAGCCAGCGAGCGAGCGAGTGAGAGCCAGCCAGCCAGCAAGCAGGCAAGCAAGCGAGCGAGCAAGCAAGCAAGCGAGCGAGCGAGCCAGCAAGCAAGCGAGCGAGCCAGCAAGCAAGCGAGCGAGCGAGCGAGCCAGCAAGCAAGCAAGCGAGCGAGCGAGCAAGCGAGCAAGCAAGCAAGCAAGCAAGCGAGCGAGCGAGCAAGGCTGGGCTGGGTAGTGATTGAAGAGAAGGAACCTGACCGCCCAAGGTCAGCCAGGATGCTCCCCTTTTTGGGACCAGTCTCGCATACCTCATCTCCAATCCACACATGTGGCATCTGTCCCAAAAATTATAATAAGGTAGGCTAACAAGGAATACCTGTGCGTCAACGAATATTAAGGTAGCAGAAGTTGGAGGGAGCAAACCATCCTCGAAGCAGGATGGCTCTTCCATAATTCAACCCTGTTGATCCGGGCAAATTACTAAAGTTCGCGAAGCCAGAATTGGATTTTCTAGGGATCATCATGAGGGGAGAGCGTTGTTCTATGTCAGGCGCAATCGTTTGAGTTTGTTCACACTGATGCACTGATGCTGACTTCCGGGTTTTTCATTGAGAATTCCCCTCAAGTGAATTGTCATGTTTCCTGACCGAAAGCCTGCCAAAATATGTAATTAAGGTGTTCCTTTCCAATCCCTTTCAACCCTGCAAACAGGGATCCATGTCCAATTCTGCTGGCTCTAAACCTCCCGTTTTGCCCAATTGGCCAGAAACCGTGGGGAAAATGCGCGGTTCATGAAAAGGTTCCGAGAATGGTGAAGCAACCCTTTGCGCTCCAGAACAAACACACACACACACACACTCTCTCTCTCTCTCAGTTGTTCAGTGACCCTGGGAAAAGAAGGGACCCCTTTTTTGGGAAGACCATTTTAGTGGGGCAGCCACGAAAAAAAAGGGAGAAAAAGGGAGCCACTGAACAACTGAGCTCTTGTATACTTCGCCGAGTTCCATGTTCATCTGAAAGGTCGGAAAGGACATGCTAGTCAATATTCTAGGGGTACCTTCCATTTCAATTCTTTGCAGGGATCCTTCTTTCTAGAAAACCTCCGCAAACCCAGGGACACGACCGGCTTTCAAGAAGAACGATGGTTGGAAAGAATGGGGAAGTTACCCGACATATGGAAAAATGGAACCACTTCCCAGAGCCCCCCAGCGATCCCCATGAAAGGATTGAACAAAAACCCATCCAACCCTTCAATAGGGCTCCCCTTCTTGAAAAGTCGTACCCCAATAAATCGATCTTCAAAAGCTATGTCGTTTTTGTTTGTTTCTTTTTTCTTTACCAATGTTTGGGTGCTTGACCCGGCTGAGCACCACCAAAAGAACCGTGTTCCTTTGGGTTACATAACCAGGAAGGCGGGGCAGCCTGAAACCAAGCCTGAAACCAAGCCTGAAACCAACCCTAAGCCAACCGGAAACAAACCGGCCCAAGCCAAACCCCAGCCCAAACCAAACCTTCTTGGTTGGTTGAGTTTACAGGAATCGGAACCCTTCCCCAAAAAAAAGGAGGAAGAAAGGGCGGAATCCACTGGGCAACTGGGTACACCCAGCCTAAACCCAAGACCCTGAAGCGCTTGGTTTTTGAAGCCACCCACCCGCCGCCCGGGCGCTTGTAGACCTCCTCCTTGGCGGAGGGGTCGGTGGTGGGATCCACCAGAAAACTGTAGCACAGCTCGCTGACGATGATCCCGGCCATGCCTTGGTCAGTCGACTTTCAGGGTTGCCGGGGTGCATGGGTGGGGTGGGGTGCATCGTGGGGTGGGGTGGGGTGGGGTGGCCCGGGGCTGAGTTAAAACCACGGGTGGGGGGTCGAAAAGCAGCTCGAGCTTTCAGTGGGGCGGAGTGGGATGGGGTGGGATGTGAGTGGGATGTGATGGGGGTGGGGTGGGGTGGGGTGTGGTGGGGTGCAAAATTGACCGTAAGTGCCCACCATACCGGGGGCTGGGAGGGTGGGGCGGTGGGCGGGTGGTTTGAGCCCAAGCTTTCCAGGGTACACCAGCGACCCTGGAGGAAAAAAAGCCGGGACCCCTTGGGGTTGATCTCGATTTTTAAAAGCTCACTTCCTGATAAAATTACCAAAAAAAAGAGGTGTCCCAAACTCACTCAAAAATTCCGGAGCCCCAGTGAGCATCCTAATCCCCACTAACTAAAATAGGTTCCAAAATGGGTGGTGAATTCACCTATCCCAAAATGGGGTTTTGACAACCACAGCCACATGTGAAACATCCAAAACCTCAGGGAGTGAACAAGACCAGGCGTGGTTGCCTTGGCCTTTGGTCTGGTTGCCTCACCCCTCCCGGAAAAAAAAAAAAAAAAAAAAAAAAAACGCTCGCGCGCTGCTCGGCATGGTTTGTCACGACGCCGGTGCGGCGAAATCGATCTTGAACCATGCAGGGCTTTTGCTTCCAGGTTTGGTCAACATATGTGGTGCAGTGCTTTTCGGGTTTTCAACATATGGAGTCCTTCCAGGTTTGCTTGCAGTGCTTTTGCTTTTGCTTCCAGGTGTGCAGGATCTGCAAACATGGGGACTGACATGCTGTTCGCCTTTGAACACTTGAGCTTTCTTTGCATTTCTTGCTCATGAACACCTCGAGAGTTGTGTGCTTTCTTGTGGCTTAGCCTGGTTTCAAAAACGCCGGCCCCGCACTGTACGGCAGTTTTCCGTTTTCTTCGTTGCTCGAGCTGCATTGGACAAAGGTCATCAGCAGGAAGCTCCAGAAGAGCATGCCCACGCACGCCTGACGCGCTACGCGGAGAGGATTAGCCCGGCGACTGCCCTATGGTGTGTGTGTGTCCCATGGTTTCCCGAAAAGAATCTCGGTTGCTTTCTGCTCCCCTGCTGAAAGTTCGCCTCTTAGTGGCTTAATGGAAAACCCATTGGTTGGCAAAAGGTTAAAGTCCTAGCATCCCTTGGCAAATTGCACCAAAGGAACAAGGGCACCAACTCCAATAGACAGAAACCTGTTTTGCATGGCCACCTTCTTTTGGGTTTTGGGGAGGTTTGACTTACGATAGACTCAGTGCCCTCGGTGGGGAGAACCATGCCACAAACAATCTGACAAGGGACCGTCACTTCTGGAAAGGTGTCTCCCCCGTTCTCACCCATTGTGACTTTCAGGAATCAAACTACCCCAAAAACTGGTTCCCACCCCCAACAAAATGCGGATTGTCTCATGTTTGCGGGTATGTTTGAAGGTCCATGTATCAACTGTCCTGGGTCGTTGGATCCAGTTTCTTCACAAAGATCTATTCCAAAACGTGAAACGAAACACAGCTCAGCCGACGGTTGGCCATGGAGACCTTCCGGAGACACCAGGGATTCATGTACCACCGGTGCAAACCATTTCAACATGTCACGGTCTAAACAGGACGACCCGGTGTTCACTATGTAAATTTCCGTTTCTGAGTCCTCCAGTAGAGAGGTTGGAATAAGGGTACCCTTTTCTCTGCAGTCTATGTTGGTAGGGGAACCCTCCCCCAAAAAGGAAACGGTAAAAGGGCACTACTGGGGGACCTAGGTTTTGATTTCTTTTGCGCTTTGGATGCTGTGCATTTGTAGAGTGGCTACCAAAAAGCGCATGTTTGGCTGACCCGCCCAAGGCTGGGAAGCTATAGCCGACCCGACCAGAAATTCTGTGAATGGAAACCCTACACCACTTCGAAACTATCCTTCAAAAATAAAAACATCCCTTTTTGGCTGGTTGAGTTGAAAGGAATCGGAACCCTTTCCCCAAAAAAAAGAGAAAACTGGGCAACAGAGCTGGAATTTGCAGGGGAATCACAACTTCATGGTTTCTGAACGGTGGTGCGAAATGGATTTTGTCAATCGACAGTACGACCGGTTTAGTGAAGCATTGCCAACTTGTGCGAGCCCAAACAGTCAAACGCTTTCTTTGCGGAAGGCTAGCTGGAATCCAACAAAAACGGCCGCGCGCCCGGTTTGGGGGTTGTCGATTTCCAAGAAAACGATTTGGATCCCTTGACCTAGTCCTTTCTATCCCTGGCAAAAATTCGGATAATTACCCTTGTGCAGATTCTGGAACTCATTGGAATCTACTCTTGCAAGTCGAATTGACAACCTCAAATATGGGCTCCCGAAGAACTCTGTCAGTTCCGCGAATTGGCCCCAAAGTCCGAACTTTTATACCTACCTGGAGTCTCCATGACCCTGTAAAAACTAGGTCCATGACCCCATTATTTCGGGCAATGACCAACCATTTTTAAAGGGTCGGAAGGAGACTCTACACGGTCCAGGCGTAAAGTGAAACCAGGAAAGTCAGAGACATGCAACGCCGGGTAGTTGGCGAGTTGCTTCCAGCGCAAGATGTTCTGCAAGCCCCCGAGCGAGCCTTTATAAGGATACCAGCTGGGGCCAGCTGGTAAGATCACGTTGCCCAGCGGAATCAAGCATGCCCAAGTGGTTTTGGATGTACCCTTTAAGGCAAGCTGAACAAAGACTCAAGAAGCAATTCAAAGGCGCCTGAAACTTGGTTTGGTACCCCTTGATCTGATTGGTTACAACCCACTTTGTTTAAGGGAACAGCCTGCTGCATGCTCAGGCTTTGTGGAAACCGAAGAGAGGCCAACCATTTTGGGGCCCCGCCCCGTGTACTTATTTTTGTTGGGCTCAACCCAAAGTGATACCTCCAAACACTTCCTGCTTTGGGCGGAAGAAAAAGAAGGAGACCAGATGACCAATCAGCGGCCTCAGAAAGTTGAACAAAAGCAATCAGGAGACGTTTTCCCACTAGACGAAGCATTTCTGGGGCGAACTCTGGGTACACAAAGAACATATTTTCGGATTCTGGTCTGTACTGCGCTGTCTTAGTCTATAGCCTAAAATAGACACTAAAAACTGGAGGAGACCCCAGATGTGACTTAGTGAGTATTGTCAACCCGTGCAACATAATGGTATCCTACAAGTATAGCAGCATAATCATGTACATAGTTGTCACACATGGGTTTGTCTCCGAATTGGGGAAGCCCTAAAACGGGCCATGCTGTTCGAGCTTTACTTCTGTGCAAGCGGCGGGCGACGGGCGGGGCTTGGAATCGCTGCGGTGCCTCGAGGCATTTGATGAGCAAGTGCAACGGCGCCAAGGTAGAAGTGATGCTAAACCTGGGCCACATACTGTGGATGGTTGCGCACCACCGTTCAGAGACCCTGGAATGATTCGATTCCCCCGCAAATACCACCAAACGTTATGGTTTCGCATGGTGTCCAAGTGGTGCAGGAATTCGTCCACATGTGTCATTTAAGGGCGCCGTTAACTGTTTGTTGGATGGTGTGTAAAGGGAACCAAAAGGCAATAAATCAATTCTTGGGATCCCCTAAAAACAAGACACTACCAATTGCTTCGCTTCGAGCAATCCCCACCCTCCACATTCACGAGCTTACGACCGTGAACACGGTTGTGTGAATTCAAGCATGGTTTTCGAGTGGCTTGGGGCCTATGACTGCTCAACAAGCTTTGCATTGAGAGCCTTATCCACCTGTCTGTGTGTCAAACTCCACTTGTCTGCGAGCCGATCTCGAGAACTCAAACATCGGTTCCGTTAACACAAGCCAAGCCCCTTCCAAAAAGAAACCCGACGGGGGATTAAACGAAGTTGCTTATTCACAGCCCAAAGCAACACAAAAGCATCACCCTTTCCGAGCCTCAGGGTGCACTCAAAACACGAAGGCACCAACATGAAATGTAAACCCAACTGTGCGCCGGGCGGGACATTAAGCAAAACCAGACACTCGGCAAGATCCACCGGCAATCGGTATTCAGCGGGATATTTGGCGCGATTTATTGGTGAGTTACTCTGGGACACTCAGCGGGATACTCGGCGGGGTCCACTGGCAGGCTGCTCTGGTGGGATACTCGGACAAGCTACTCTGTCGGGATATTTGGCGGGATCCACTAGCGAGCTTCTGTGGGGATCCACTGGCAAGGCGGGATACTCGGCGGGATCCTGGCAAGCTGTTCTGGCGGGATACTCACTGGCGAGCAGCTCTGGACACTGGGCGGGATCCGCCGGCCAGCTGCTCTGGTGTTATACTTGGCGGGATCCACTGACAAGCTACTCTGGCGGGATATTCGGCGGGATCCACTGGCCAGCTACTTTGGGATGCTCAGCAGGATACTCGATACACTGGCGGGCTGCTCTGGTGGGATACTCGGCGGGATCCACTGGCAAGCCGCTCTGGTGGGATACTCGGCGGGATCCACTGGCAAGCCGCTCTGGCGGGATACTCGGCGGGATCCACTGGCCAGCTGGGTGGGGGCATGGTGTAGAAGCATCGCAAACGCGGATTCCAACATAAAATCTATGAGCCTGGTACCCAAAGGCAGACATTGAATAGTGATAGGAACAGGTAAGAACGTGCGTGGTTGCGGTTGGAGCTTCCCACTGTAGCTCGGACCTTAGAAACATTCGACAGAAGGGACCGAACGACCCCGGTACCCGGCGAAGTGGGCAGCCAAGGGGAAGATCTTTGAACACTTGACATGTATTTGGGTGTGATTTGTTTTTGGTTGGTACCTAGACTCTCCTTCCGACCCTTTAACAATGGTTGGTCATTGCCCTAAATAGTGGGGTCATGGACCTATCTTTAAAGGGTCAGAAGGAGACTCCAGGCAGATCTTATTTTGGGCTAAAGGAGACGAACCTGCAACCTGAGAAGCCCGAGAATGGAAAACCCCACACCTGCCACCCGAAAAGCCTCAAACAGGGAGCCGACGGGGCCCTCCTAGTCAAAGCGCCGCTGGCTAGCCTACTGGTAGCTTTAACTCCAGAAAACGGTTTGGAGGCGGCTTTTGTGGATCCACCCCTGGATATTAAAAGAGTACTAAAAGAGTACTAAAAAGAGCACCACAGGGGCTGAGAACAAGCGAAATCCACCAAAAGCGCATCCAAACCGTTTTCTAGATTAACTTATATTATGTTTCCAGTCACTAAAAAGTTCTTAGCTTTGAACAAGTCAGAGCGTGTGTGGAAAATTATACCGCTTGCCCATCCCTCTTTTCCCGCGTTGTTCCTTTGGGAACCACTCAGATTGTGTAGATTCTTTGTGTTTTTGGTGATGGTTGCCCAAACAAAAACGTGGACAGAATGGCACAAGTACAACTGGCAGTTGGTATTGTTTGGTTCCTTTGGGCGTGAAGTCACGTCGTGTCCACTTGTGGGGATCCGATTTTAACGGAACCGGCCTCAATGTTAGCCCAAACTGTGGGATCCTTTCATGAGTGCAGAGTGGCTCGTCCAGCTAATTGGACACCTGGGAAAATGCCCCCCCCCCCCCCCCCACGTCGAACTGGGTGTCTTTCTTTTGAGAGCTCCATGTTTTTTGCTGCACAGGGATTGCAAATCTAGCCAGCCAACCAACCCAAACCCAAACCCAAACCCAAACCCAAACCCAATCCAACCCAAGCCCAAGCCCAAACCCAAACCCAATCCAACCCAAACCCAAACCCAAACCCACACCCAAACCCAACCAAACCCAAACCCAATCGAATCCAAGCCCAAACCCAAACCCAAACCCAACCGAACCCAAGCCCAAACCCAAACCCAAACCCAAACCCAAACCCAACCCAAACCCACCCAACTCCAAGCCCGGAATCCTTCGAGTCGAATCATTCGAGGCGCATGCGCAACGCTTTGGCCATCTTGGTGATGCGGAGCAAGCGCACTATGGACAGGTTCTTTGCGCCAGCAGCCGTGGACAGAAGCCAATAGATTTCCACCACCTAGGCTTCAGCCATGGAGATAGGGTCCATTATCCTTTGGTTTACTTTTTGATTGAACTCAACAAACAAGTGTATGTAGTCAGACAAAACGAAGTGCCTTGACCCATCCTCGTGGCGTCCCACTTGAAAACATATGTATATATATATATATATCTGTGTGTACAGTATATACATATGTATGCATATATATATATATACATATGCATATATAGTGTCTTTGTGCAAATTCGCAGTATGGTTGTAGCAGCCTCTTTTCCAGGAACAACGGCTTCGATGCGCTTCTTCCGGCACTTCAACAGCCTGCTGCTCTGACACAGAGCCACAGATGCCCAGTGCATTTTGACAGGAAGAAAAGAATCGTCATCCTTTCTTGGTTGGTTGACTCCCAAACAATCGGAACCCTTCCCAAACAAAGTTGCAAACAAGGGGCGGAATCCACTACCGCCAAAACCTACTCTCAGAGGGCAGCGCAGCTGGTGAGGGCTAAGCTCTAGGATAAACAAAGGGGTAGCTGAACTTGACTCCAAAAACACATAGACCATGGGCCCGAATTTGTGCGTGTAAAACCTGGCATATTTCCAGATAAAAGGAAATTTTGGAGGAGAGTGGACAACTGAGATGACCAATTGGTCAAACCCTGGACCTCCAGAGCAGGGGGTGTTGTTTCTTGGGGGAGTGGGTGGGGGGTTGAAAAGCTGAAGTGAGTTGCGGGCCAAAACACACCCCCTCCCCGACGTGTTTGCCCTGAGAGACTGAAACGTCGGCCTGCAGCATCCATAAGTGTCCTGGTATTCGCTTACTTCTTTCGCACCCTGAGGCTGGCGTGGCCCCGGACAAAAGTAGAACTTTCGGATGACTGGTGCTGCCCCTGAGCAAAAAATCCGGGATATGAGCTTGTCTCTTAGGACGAAGCGTTTGTGACAGGTATTTGTGGGTGTTGCGAAGGGATACATTACAAAAATCCAATCTTACACAATTACTCTAAACAGGAACAAAGCAGGTACACTACCATGAGCCTTCAACACATATGCACAATCAACGGAGCTCCCGAAAAGGAAACAGACAACGAACGGCTTTGGGTTTATCAAACAAATCGAGCGTGGCCGGCTCAAGGCCCATATTCCATTGCCCATGTCAAACTACATACCCCCGCCCGTGCTGACAAATAATCCCCATCTATTGAGCCCAAGGTCGATCACCTTCTGTGGGTGTGGGAAAGCCTTGGTGTCCGAACCAAACAAATTCTAAACTGCCAGGCTCAGCAGCCGTGCTCCACTAAATCAACACAAGACAAAGCATTTCCAAAGTAAGGCAAATCTGGTAAATGACAATGCAGTGACACCCGCTGGAGCACAAATGTACCCTACTAACGAATACGGTTCGGCCCCGCAGAAAAAAAACATATTACGCGTATTCGGGGGGCAGCGTTTTTATTCTTAGGGGAAACAACTTACTCCGGATGTGCCTTTAAGTCAAGATCATGCAATGCCCGAAAGGAATTAGCTGCTCAGACGAACTTCAGCAATGGGTTTAAGTCCAATTGTGTGGCACCCAAAGTGTCTACTGTTGCAGGGCAGCCGCGCCTATGCATAGCTGGGACCTTCCCGAACCTTCACATGCCCGGGTTGGGATTGCGGCTCAGCTGCGCTGGAGAGGCCCACTGCCAGGTCGAGATAGTTCATCCAAGATTTCCAAAAGTCCCAGCGAAGCCAACAAATGCGCACCAGCACCTGATCCAGCTTGGGTTTCGGTTTGCCGAATCCCCCCTTTGGAAAGCGCTACAAAACTGCTAGAACGAGTGTAACACTTGGAATCCACAGTTGAAATCAGTCACTAATAGGCCCTACGAGGCTGCAATGGCTGCTATGGCTCCGCATCACCCCGTTACTTTGGTACCCGAAGATCTGCCTGAAGCTACACTCAACCGTTCAAACTTGGAATCCCTTGTTGAGCAACCCTCTTTTGGACTTGGCAAAGGAAAGTGCGAGATGATCCAGGATGAACAGAAGAGGTTTGCTGCCTTTCCTCTACCTCTGTGTCCCTGTTGAGCTGAAAAACCAAATGAGGGCTTTGTGTGGGGGGGCGCCATTCAACCAGAGCTTCAATAGAGCCCTGCCCTGAAAGATGGACAAAACATGGTATCACTCAAAATACATACAAAAAACCGTTTCGGTGTTAGGCTGGTTCTCTTGGTTGCCTATGAAACCACAGTAAGCCACGTGGTTCTCTGGGTTAAAATAAAACCACAGTTTGCCCTACAGAAAGTCACCAGCCATTTTTATTTTGGTGTTTAAAAAGGGGGGGGGTCTCACCAGAAGGGTTACCTACAACAGGTATAACTGGAATTTATATAACTCCCCGAGTGGATCCCAGTTTCCGCTACAAAGGGTAACCCGCTTTGCTTGTGTTTCAAGGCCGGTTCTCTTGGTTACTGATCAAAACCAAATAAAACCAGTCAAAACCCACTAAAACCCCAGTTTGCCCTGCAGAAAGTAGCCAGCCAAACTGGTTCTCTTACAGATGGATCCACTGGGCCCCCCCCCTTCTCGTCCCATGGGCCACGTCGCCGGACGACAGAAACGACGATTCGACGACTCGGAGCCCCGTGGCCTCGAGCCCGAAGATCACGGCGAAGAATATGTCCCCGACAAAGAGCACCTGCCGCACGCAGAGACTTGGGCCATGGAGAAACGCGCCGCTCTTCGTCGGTTTCTCTTTCTCTAAACCAACAAAAAAAAGAAAAAAGCAATTGATGAGCACCGTTGTTCTGTTGTTGTTGTATCTATATATTAAGAAACAAAAAACAACACATAAGCCATAAATATGCGAAGAAGTCAACATGTTCTTTGCGGTTTTCGCTTTAAATCAACAAGAACAGTAAACTATAAACATGTGAAGGGGTTAATATTCGCGACATCACTGGCATACTTCGAGTACTGCCAGACTGACAAATTACAACTTGAACGATACAACGTTCACCGGGTCGCCAAAGCGTGTCAAAGAAATAACACTGATTGCTTAAACCAGCAACTTGGGCCAAACTCTCAGGTGCACAAGCAAGTAAGATGTTCGGATTCGGGTCAAGAGTCACAATATGGGCTGTCCTAACATGAAGTAACTTCGGAGGAAGCACATGGTTGTACAGAATTACTTTGCCTGGGGACCCCCAATCGCCGGCCAATCGCGATCCAATCGCAGTCCCGCAGATTCCAATCGCGGAGCTAGGTTGGTCGCTGTTCGCTTTTCGCTGTCTTATCTCAAGCGCTGGCCTTCCTCCATCCATACCTCTGGAAACTGGGAGGAAGTGACGTAGCTCAGATGGGCAGGGCCTCGCTGGTGAAATTCGTCCAATCGCCGTCCAATCGCCGTCCCGCGGTCCAATCGCGGAATTCGGCGGCGCAACTTTGGTTTGCAGCTTCCAGCCTTTGCCAGTAAGCAGATTTAGACAGCACAGCCTGGACCTGCGCAGGCGAAATCAACATACAGCTTTCCAGGAGGAACTTGTATTTGCGCGAGCCCGTGCAGTCAACATGAGCGAGACGTGCGTCGGCAGCACAATCAACACCATGCAGTGGTAATTTTCGCGGGGGGAGGGGGTTCAACACCAAGTTCGTCGCAAACTGGGACTAACTCCTGGACCACCCCCACAATGGAACCAAATTTGATGGTTGAGCAAGGTACTCATGCAAAACATCGATCGTGCACGCTCTGGGCCTTTTTTTCCACCCCATCATGAGCTCAGTGGTAGCCACTGCTGCTCTTGCACCCTAAACCCGCTGCTGTTTGGCAGGCGGGGCATGAGAATCTCCAGTATCTGGAGCACGCTTTGCAACCATGAAAGCGTTGATTTTCGCTGTGCCGCTGACATCTTTTGCCAGTTTCATGCACAGATTGACTAGATCAGCCTTTTTCATGTACTTTACACTTGAACCCGCCTCAATCGACATGTCAGCTACCCTCTTCTTGAGGGATGCAACATTCATCTTGTTCAGCTCAGCTTCCGTCATAGCCTGGATTCAGATTCAGGGCAACCAACTAGTTACCAATCGCAAAATGGTGTGTGGTATATTCATGGCCCCCGGCGGCCCCGTTTGATCAAATCACCAATGCTGAGCAGGTACAAACCCTGATGATCCAAGTTGTTTTCCATGAAACACCGGTCAATTGTTGTAGTAAAGCACAAATACCCAGACTGACTATTGTTGGTTGAGCTGTAAATGTCCAACAGTTGTCAATAAAACGATCATACGTCCCAAAGTGCCATGGTGTTGTGGTAAAGTTGGTGCATTAGCATTGAATGTCAATTACCAAACAAAGACTGCATGTTCGAACTTCGAATTGTTGCAGTTCCCGTTCCCGTTGTCAAGGACGTTGCTGACAACTGAAAACCATGTCAAACCACAGCAACCAAAAGCAGGGTCAGTTAGTAGGTCCTCAATAGGCATGTGGTTTCTCCAAGGAAGAACGCTTTTATTTGGTTCGGCTTTCTAAGGGCAAACCAAATGAACAACCACGAATGTCATGCATTCACATTGTTGTTTGGTTGCATTTGCATTTTGGCATCTGGGTTTTGAGTTTGGGGCTGGGGGGTGGGTTGGGGGGGGTGGAGGTGGAGGGGCGAAGGGGCAACCAAAACACTGCAAATGGACTCGGATCATTCGTGTCTCGCGTGACGCAACACAATGGTCGAATACTAGAATACTACTACTACATAATTTGTCCTGTCAGTCAAATCATTGTCAATTGTCATTGGTCATGTCACAAAACCCAAACTCCTTTTGGGGTGCAACCACGTAATGCCCATCAAACTGCGATGTTCTAAAATTCAACACGGTGGTGTGGTGTGTCAATCCTAATCCGTTGACCGTTGGACCTGGTCAGTTGTTCTATTGACCAATCCCAATCCATAATGCCCGCATAATACCTTCGTGACTTCATGTGACGCCAAACAAGGAATTGGAATGATGATCTCACAAAGTTATCATCCGTAACAGTGTGACACGTTATCAGCAGTACCCTGCATTGATCCTGCACTGCACATGCAACTTGCAGCCACGTAACAATGACCCCATGATTGGGCGGCATTGGTGTGGGAATCGCATCCTGGAGGAAAGGCTGAAGCGGAAGTGGAAGTGTCAGTTTAAAGGACATGACATGAATACAGGAATGTTGGATGCAATGGTTTGAACAGCTAGCTAGGACCAAGGATGTTTCACATTCCACTGCAGCATCTCAACGAGATGATGGAGCCACGAGCCCATGTGCCATTAACAATGGCATTCATCATCCTCGACTTTGTTTAACAAGGTACATTGCCACTGGGCCACTTAGCCAGTTGCCTCGAAATTGTACAACAAGGCAAGGCAAGGTCAATAAGGCCGTCCACTCACACTGGCCTTGTCCGCCACATCAGCATTCGTCGCGGCCACCACCAACATTGCAGCTGGAGTGGCCGCTTGCGCCGCCGCCGGAGCTGCCTCAACAGCCTCGGCCGCAGCGGCATCCTCATTGGCCTTTTGCACCGCCGCCGCCACCACAGCAGTTGCCTCAGCCAGGGTGGCAAGTGGGGAGGATCAATCGTATGTTTAACAATGTTTAAAGTTTAAACTCAATCATTTAGGTCCGGTGTCACGGTGTCCCTTTAAATGAGGACATAGGTTGGCCGTTGAATCCATTTGTTGCCTGGCTCTACCCTGCTCTTGCCTCAACGGCCTCAGCATCCTCAGTGGCCGCTTGTACCGCCGCCGGAGCTGCCTCAACAGCCTTGGCCGCAGCGGCATCCTCATTGGCCTTTTGCACCACCGCCGCCGCCACCACAGCAGCTGCCTCAGCCAGGGTGGCAAGTGGGGTGGACCGGGTGGATCATATGTTTAACAATGTTTAAAGTTTAAACTCAATCATTTAGGTGTCCCTTTAAATGAAGACATCCAATTTTTGCTCGACTCTGCCCTGCTCTTGCCTCAACGGCCTCAGCATCCTCATTGGCCGCTTGCACCAGAGCTGCCTCAACAGCCTGAGCAGCATCATCATTGGCCTTTTGCACCGCCACCGCCGCCGCCGCCGGAGCTGCCTCAGCCAGGGTGGGAAGTGGGGTGGGCATATGTTTACACATGCTTAATGTTTAAACTCAATTAATTAGGTGTAAATGTAAATGAGGACATAGGTTGAAGGTTGGCTGTTGAATCCAACTTTTGCCCGACTTTGCCCTGCTCTTGCCTCAACGGCCTCAGCATCCTCACTGGCCGCTTGCACCGCCGCCGGAGCTGCCTCAACAGTCTGGGCATCAGCCACATCCTCATTGGCCTTTTGCACCGCCGCCGCCGCCGCCGCAGTTGCCTCAGCCAGGGTGGGAAGTGGGGTGGGCATATGTTTAAACATGGTTCAACTCAATTAATTAGGGGTAAATGAGGACATAGGTTGGCCGTTGAATCCATTCTTTTGCCTGACTCTGCTCTGGCCTCGACAGCCTCGGCCTCAGCACCCTCATTTGCCGTTTGCAACGCCGCCGCTGCCGCCACCGGAGCTGCCTCAACAGCCTCAGCGGCATCATCCTTGGCTTGCGCCGCCCGGTCCGCCGCCACAGCTGCTGCCTCAACAGCCTCAGCATCCTCTTTGGCCTTTTGCACCGCCGCCGCCGCCACAGCTGCCTTGACAGCTTTGGCATCCTCGTTGGACGTTTGCACCGCCGCCGCCGCCGCCGCCACAGTTGCCTTGACAGCCTCGGCATCCGGCGCCTCATTGGCCTCGACTCCCTCAAGGGCCGCCGCCGTGACCTTCACGACGTCCTACATGAGGTCAGGGCAGGGTCAGTGGGTCAGGAGCTCATTTTGATCACATGAACGAATGGGTGGGTTTTTATGTTATTGGAGTCATTCATTGGGTACACAACACAAATCATATCACATGAGCCTGTGACCTTCGTCGGACCTGTAATGGCAGGCATTTGTTTGCTCACTTTATACGCAACTACCTTGTCATCAATGAATCCCGCCTCATCATCAACCTCTGGAATCTCAGCAGGTGGTTCTTTTGGTGTGCCACGCAGTTTGCCGTCCAAAGAGGACATCGCATAGGTGACCGCCTTCATGGGAAGATTCTGGGGGAGCTGATGGGCGAGCGTCATGAAGTCATCCACCCCTCCGGCACTGACATAGGGCAGCGGTATCTGGCAGGGAACCAGATCAGCGTTTAGCTTATTTGACATGTGCCGGAGCCCCTTGTGTTTCTCGCATATTCAAACTTCAAACTAAGCAACCTGGAGACAACCCAATTTCTCTATAGACCTTTCAAACAAAGACTGATGTTGCAGAAAACATCGCTTCTGTCATAAATGGTATTATGGTATCATGGGCAGTTGGTATGTTCAAACAATCACTCAAACTCTGGTTTTGACACAGCCCCAATTTGTCCCAATGCCTTGACAGTGATGCTGTCCCCGTTGATGGATTTCTCAAAGAAATAATGCCCAAATGGCATGTGCATCATGTCACCAGGCAATATCTGTGCCACTTGAAAGCTGGCCACAGACGTAGGTGCCTCCGCCAGGCTAGTGGGTGTAGTATCCTGCAGCAAGTTGGTAAGACTTGATGATGTATAAATTCAGGCAGACTTGTGTCACATCACAGACTGCTAGCAACTACCGCTCCGCCGCTACCCAT